CTCAAATCATTGTGTATTTAACTTGAATTTTGCTACAGTAGGCTCTGTTCTTAACTATGGGCCATCTGTAGACTGGGCATTCTTAACCCAGGGACTACCAGACTATTTGTCTGATCTTTCTGGCATATTTTGCTATTATGACTACTTTCTAGTTTTAGTAGAATGATGACAAGGTTTTAATTTATTCAAAACCATCATTGTGGGATGCTTTGACCTTTTTATTTTTTCTTATGCTTGGTGGTGGCTCCAGTTTTTCTATAAATTTTTCTCTCTTAGACTGAATTGTTGAGGAACCAGACATCTCATTAGAGCTGAAGCCAAACTAATAGTGATCTCACGAGAGTCAATAAGATTCCTCATATGCTTGAAGTTAAACATTGCTCTTAATAATTTGTTGGATTGCATGTTATCTGCTCAGTCAACAACTTGTAAGGTCAAGCTTTTTCTTTCCCTGTGTTGCAGCCAAAGCATGGCTGGCACACTTCCCATCACTGGCAAGTGAAAGCTCAGAACAGATTAAGTTTCTTGTTTACAATTGTTCACCGACAGTTCAGTTCTATGACAAATTAAATCTTTGTTCACTTGGATCAGCACTAATGAAAACCTGTCTTGGAAGAGCAGTGGCACTGCGAGATTGCGGTTGCTTTAAACTCTTTAGAAAAGGTGCTTGGCCGGCATGTAGTTTTAGCCACATTCAAAATTACAGAATGAGAAAACAAAAAGAGTCTAGCTAGATCGCTCCAAAAGTTCATCTATTCCAGATTGTTTTGTCCAAAATGGAATTCAGTTCAGTAGTAGAGCTCATGCTTTACACACAGGAGGTGTCAGGTCAGACTCCGGGCCCTCTCTTGTTGAAAAGCTCTACCTAATAACCTGGAAAGCTGCTAGCTATTACAATCAGCATCAGCAGTATTTGGCTACATAAGAAGGTGATTGCTCAGTACAAAGTGGCCTTAATTGTTTAGATGAAACAGTTACAATAAGGGGCCTCTAGAATTCCACAAGTACATAGAAGAAAAACAGCTCCCGGTACTACCACCAGTACTCAGGCAAAGGGTGGAGAAAGGGTGCATTTCCCCAGATATGAAGGCCTATGGGACAGTGCGGTGCCCGTCTTCATAGTTCTTTTAACCTGAGGATAGAATGAAACTATCTTTTAGTAGATTATCTCTAAGAATGTTGATATACATTTAGTTGAACTCATGAATCAATATTCCATGTACAAAAGTTCTGAGATAAACATAAACTCTAGAATTTATGCAGAGGGGTCTGTAGAATTAAGAGAGTGAGTTTGGTGTAGTCATTAAGGCATCAGGCTAGAAACTAGGACTGTGAGTTCTAGTCCAGCCTTATGCTCAAAGCTAGCTGGGTAACTTTGGGCCAGTCACTCACTCTCAGCCCTCAGAAGAAGGCAATGGCAAGCCACTTCCAAAAATGCTACCAAGAAAACTGCAGAAACTAGCCCAGGCAATCACCAGGATTCAACACTGATTTGAAGGTGCTCACACACATACACACACACATAAAGGTATTATCTCAAACTTACAGGTATTATCTCAAACTTTACAAATCCTAGAGTTTCTTAGTTCCTTGTGTCATATTATGGGTATAGGTAGGATGGCCAAATGGATGACAGTGTGATAGCCTTGTGTGAAGGAAAAACAGCCTGGTGGTGCTACAGTTATGAGCCACTGAAGTTAGAAGCAACTTCCCATAGGGCTGCAGTAGTTTTATCTTGCCATCTGAAGTACTTAAGGGGTAGGGTATAGTCATTGTAGTATTTAAACCCCCATAAATATGTGCTGAGCTACTTCAGACAAATAGTTAACTGATGCTTTGTCCTGACCCAGGACACAGATGCTGATCTAGTTTAGATGTAATGCTAAACTCTATTTTACTATTGTATATGCAAAGCTGCCATCTCACTATTAACCTCTTCTTCTGGCACAAGATCAGTTTTATTCTATTTTAAACTAATACCAGTTTGCCATAGCTTCTGAAGTAGAAATTGTGGTTAGTTTAAACTGTAGTCAATCTAAACAATTCAGGATCAGAAACCATGGCTTGATACATGTTTCTCAATTTGCTTTGGATGCCAAAATCACTCCAGAGAAAGAGTTTAGGAGGGATTGCACAAAAACATCTATATAAGTCCCCAGAGAGGTTTTCTCCAGATATGTTGACCATACCAGCTAACAATTCTAGAAGAGTCAATTCACTTGGACAGCCCCAAACACTAGACTCTCATCATTAAACTTCACTTTTACATTCAGTGTAGCAGACAGTTCCCCTATATGCCCCATGCTTACTTTAGGAATATCCCCCACAAAAATCATCAATACCGCTGTTTCTCCTTAAAAACAATAATACAGTAAAACAACATAGATTTAATAACAATATAAACCAGGGTTCCTCAGCCTCAGCAACTTTAAGATGGGTGGACTTCAACTCCCAGAATTCTAGGAGTTGAAGTCCACCCATCTTAAAGTTGCTAAGGTTGAGGAACCCTGGTATAAAACAATGAAGTAATTAATCCATTCTGAAGCAGGTAAATGACATCAAAAACAAACTTAAGATTGAATTTTAAAGTCGAGTGTTTTCACCATAGCATAACAATCCAGGCTGTAAAGAGTCTTTGCAGTTTGTTACATTCCCAGTGGGCACATTCCAAAGACTTTAACTTTAGAATAGAGTTTTGGAAGAAAGCCTCTTCATTCAAGCCACGGTTTTGATCCAAATCAATTTATGGAGCCTAATCAATCACTGTCTGATCTATGCATGTGTGTATGTTCATACAGACATACAGGCACACACATTTAGATTGTTTGCAGGTTTTCAGTAACCAGCAATAGTTTTTCAAATAAAATGATCCGTGCCTTGATTTCATTTTCTCATGCAAACAAATTAAGAAATGCAAATCTCCGGGGTCAAGTTTTCTAGATGCAAAGCTGCTTTTGGGTAGCTTCTGAATAGCCTCGCCTGTCAAACACAAGTCAAAGGTAACCAATCATACAGCAGCTTGATCTGGATACCAAGTTGTATGAATGGGATAACATGCAATTAAGACAACATCCTGGTAAAGGAGGAAGACTGGAGGACTGGACTTTTCAGAGGAAATGTTCAGGCTAAATGAAACACTTGGCTTATTGATTAATTTAACACTCGAGATTGCAGAAAGAAAATGTGTTTCCATTTTTGGAATAGTGAACTACTTTTTATAGGCTAACAGGAGATAAGTATTTAATCTAATGAGAAGATCATGAAAAAAAAAACAGTGAATTAAAAGACCAATTGCCATTTGAGGTCAGTTTTTCTTCCTCTGTTTTAGGAGCACCCAATAAAATATGAAAACTGTGTGAACTTTTCATGACTCAGTAGAACATGTTTGTGGCTGGATATTTCTTTATGTTGACATTTAAAGGACTCAGCATACAAAAGTACTACTAATATAAACAAAAGCTGCCCAACTACCATGCTTTGGTGGGTTACTCCCATAGTATGGGGATTAAAATGTACTTCATGTGCCAGTTCCACATGAAGTACATTTTAGCTGTTATGATGGTTTATGGATTTCTGTTAGTGACATATGTATTGGGGGAGGGGGAAGTATAGAAACAAAATCAGGTTTCCACATTTTTAGTTGATGCTGCCAACTAAAGCACCCATAATTCCTCCTCCTCCTCCTCCTCCTCAGTTTACGCCCATCCATTCCAAGCCAATTCTTTTCCCCTTCTTGCTACTGGAGATTTATATGGGATTAATTTGTAGGCATTATAGGCTCCTGTCTTGGCCCAAGCCCATGGAATTATGCAACCCCACCCATTTCATCTTCTGCTGGCCTATGAATAAGCCCACATGGGAGAGCCTATAAAGCCAGCCAGTATTCAGAACTTATCCCTCATTAAGATTTTCAGAAGTAGGTTGACCAGAATGCAAAAAGTTAACATCAGCTAGATGAAGTTGTATTAGGGTTCTGATATTTCTAGGACTCTCTCTACACCCTGCCTCCCTCCTTCTATGATTCATTAAACATTGCAGCATTCTTATTTTGTATCATTCATTTAGGCCAGGAGTCTATTGTTTTAGTTTCCAGGGTCCCAGTATGGAAACTTCCAAAGAAAGACCAGAGTTAAGTACATGGGACCTTAAGGAGAAACATAAGGAGAATTTAACTTAATATTATAGAAGTAACCAAAGTGTGTATAGGATCTGCATACAGTTAGATGTCAGGGTTGTGATTTAAATAGGCAAATAATAGCTTCAGTTAGATTCTGATTTATTGATGCAACTGGCTTTCATTTCACTTGTTTAAAAGAATTTTGCAGAATAAATCTTTTACAGAATACATAACTGGGTAGGATTATAAAGGGAAGAAATTATTTATCATGTATCTGTTCATAAACTGACATTGTTTACAATCATACAAATTGTCAATGGTTTGTAAGAATGTCCCTCCCAGGGTTATCATTTTTACTGAATTTCACTTCCATTTGTCTTAGTAGCCAGGTTTGTATGCTATTTTCAGTGCTTAGTTTAGCAGAAATCATTTACTGGTATAAAACTGACAAATAAAAATAAGTTGTAACTGTGCCCATATTTTGTTTCTTTTCTTATTTGCTTTATAATTCATGGTGCTTTTACAGGGAAACCACTGATAAAGACATCAAGAACCGCCGTGACCAACCAGAACTTGCTGACTATCTCTGTAGATATTGGAAGTACAGTGAAAACAATCCCAGGAGTAAATGTGACCATTAACTGCCAAATTGCAGGTCTGTTACAACATAACTATATTAATGAGCAGGTTTAAAGTTCTGCATTTAGATTTCATTACATCCAATTTGAAATTCCTCACTAAAGCATTTAACTGTTTTACTGGATTGTTTAGGATTGTTCTACCTGTGCTGATCAATGGAAGAGCATGCTTTAAATGCCGATCTGAAATACAGCTCTAGGCATCACCAGAAACCTTGGAGTTCCTGCAAGTCCGCCTAGAGCATTCTGAGTTAGACGAAGCAATGGTTTAAATCGGTGTAAGATAGCTTCATGGCTTTGGAGCATGACAAACCATCTATCATTTCCACTTATTAACCATGAAGGCCTTAACCTTCAATTAACCATAAGACACTTTACTTCTATTATATCAATAAATGGATTGTGCATGTACCTTCTTCCCAACTGTGCTGTCAGTAGAAAATCTTTATGCAGGACAACTGAAGTAAAGATTGAAATGTAACTTATCTGATAAGGCATAGGTATTCTATATAGTGAACTCTGTCTTAAGGTTAGAGATATATGTTATAGCAACAACAAAATTTGAAACCTATATTAGGGCAAGTCAGGGTAACAGAACTGCAAACGTACTAGAACTCTTAATCAGGGAAGTGCCTATGAACTAGCCTTTTATGAGCAACTTAGCTTTTCTATTTTGAGTAACCCTAATAAAGGTATTCTCCTAATATAGATTTTAGAATGTTGCTTATAGCCACCAAGTCAATGTTTCACTTATGAATTTTGACATTTGTGTGTTGATTGTAACAGATTAATTGTGTGGATGCCTGAAAACCTAGAGAAACACTAGCAAATGTTGACACCGATAATCATTAAATGCAATTGTCAGCATTCACGTCTATCAACAGATTTGGGATATTCTCTACAATATATATGGTTTTATATAGGGACAAATGGGATCTATAACAATGTTGCTTGGACTCATGAATAAGTTGATTATCCTTCATTACTGTCAGTCTCCACTTCGTTAGTTCACTTTTAGCTCTCGCTCTGATTATACACCTCCCTTTTTAGTGTTTTGTCTGCTGTCCTGCCATTTCCCTTCTTCTCTACCTCTCTTTAACCTCTCATATGTTTGTTTGCTTCCCTCCTCCCCCTCATTCACTTGTTCTCCTTCATGTGGTTGAGTTCTCTCTTCTGCTCCCTTCTTTTTCATCGTATCTATCTCTGGTCCTAATCACTGCATCTCTTGTTTGCCTGTTCACTGTTCCTTCCTTCACTCGTTCCTCATTCTTCTACCTAACTGCCTCTGTCCTTGTCCTCAAAGTTTCTTCTAGACTTTATTTATTTCCTAATTTCTTCTTTTTGAAAAATGATGTGGAACAAGGCAGAAAGAACTACCCTGAAAAAATGAAAAAAAGCACATTGAACAAATTTACCCACCTGTATTTCTTATCTTACCCTTCCTTTCCTCTGTACAACTGCGCATATACCCATCTTCTTTGTTTTTATTTGGAGTGGGGGGAGTTGCCCCCCCTCTTTAAAGATGTTTTTATATTTGTGGAACTGTGGGATTCATAAAAGCATGCAGCTATCTCACTTCTATCTTCTGTGACTACATTTGGCTACATACAGACTATGTTCAGCAAGGTCCAGAGGGAGTTGGAGTCTGGTGTCATTAGTCTGCTGATGTCCTGGCCTACCTCTCCTTGCCAGCAGATTCAGATGCAGCTGTGCATGTGGTAGACAGCTGGGTGGTTGCTGTAATGGGCTGAATGAGGTCCAGTAAATGGAAGCTGACTCCTGAGAAGATGGACATTCTGCAGATTGAAGATTCCTTAGTCTAGGAACTGCGTAAAAGATCTATTCTAGAAGAGGCTGCATTCCATTGGAGGAGCCAGTAATACCCTTGAGAAAGTAGCTTTTGGTTCCCCTTCGCAATTGGAGACTGAAGTAACCCGAGTGGCCAGGAGGTTTTTGCTTTTTTCTTTTCCTACCTTCAGCTGCTCTGTTAAGCAGAGATAACCTTGTAACTTCCTGGTTAGGTTACTGCAAAACAGTTTGTATGTGACTGCTCCCAAGAGCGAAATGGAAGCTACAATTTATTTGACCTGTATAATTCATATAACATGAAATGTAAAAGAAGAAACATCTTTTTCAGTGTGTATTCCTGTATCATGAAGATACTGAGGGGAGCTTTTTGCTTGTACTCACATTGACTTCTGTTTTAACAGGAAACAGAATCTTATTCATGACAGCATCAGGGTGTTCTGTTTTGTTTACTCAGTTTTAGATCCTTTTAAATTACATCTGAATCTATCTTAAGATCCACGACATAGGGTAGCTAAGAAATATTTTGATAATTTATAGATCAGTAACATAAAATGAAGCTGAAGGACTTACATCATGTTTATAATTTGGAGAAATATGTGCACTCAAATTTGATGGCAAGGAACCACCAGTTCTGTGGTTATGTAGCCAGCAGAGGATAATTATTGGCTGTGTGGTACTTTCTCACTGGAACACCACCTGTCAGTAGATTAATTGGATAACAAATGCAAGTGAGTACCACATCAGTTCCCCTGGTGAGTAAAAGAGAGTGATGACAAGTCAGTGAGTGAAAATGATAAGGACACTCAATGATCCTCTGAAATATTTGTATGAATAATTTATTCTGAATAGCCAGCTGATAGGGCTTATGCCAAACTTGGAGGCTTTGGATGAAAGAGGATAAATTATTAAAGGGTAGGACAGGTGATTTATGTTTTCATTTGATATACTAATAAAAAGCAAATTGGTTTAAATAGTAATAAAACAGGCTGGTTGGCCTAGGATTTCAAACAGCAAAGTTAAGTTGAGCTGTTGCATTGGGGCAATAACTTCCACAATTTCTAACCAAAATGTTATGGCTATGCAGCAGCTGTAGATTACTATTGCATAATTTTACAAGGGTACTTGTGATATTGTTCTGTTGGAACAAAGATAGCCTTATTGGCATCTCAGATAATGAATGACTGGGGATTAATAAAAGAATAAAACAAATAAAAGAGCTACTGAAGATATGGGAAGGAGAATGTTTAATTAAAGCATTTAACACTGTTCCTCTTGGGGAATGGGAGTTTAGCAGTCCTTTGCCTCTCTCCTTTCAGCAAAATGATTTCATTCATTTGCCTTTCTAATATTATAATAGTCTACTTACATAATTTGCAGGTCAAAATATAGTAAAACAAAAAATTCAAAACATCCAGACACTATAACTTAAAAAGTAGCTCAATGAAGCTATTAACTATGACATGTACACTAGATACATAGAGAGCTAAAAAAAAATGACAGATAGAAGAGATTTTAAAGGTTTGGAGAATAAAGTGAGCTTAATCTGGCTCAAAAAAAAAAGCAAAGTAAATCCCAGTGCTGATCTTTTTGGGGAAAGCAATCCATACCTGGAAGAGGCTGGTAATGAAAAAGTCTGCTGCCAGGTGCCTCTCTCCCATACTTCAACATACAGAGTGATTTGGAACATATATTTATTTCTGGGCTCAGGGAGGAATATATTCAGAAATTGTGGCTTCCGGCATTGAAAGATTTTGCAGGTTAATACCAGGCCTTGGCACTAGGCTTAAAAACAAACAGGAGCCAATGAAACCAGAAGCCATATCCAGTTTGGATCAGAGTTGCCAACTGACATTTCTGGATTATCAGAGAGTAAAGCCTTAAGTGTTTTTCCTTCAGCCATTACTGAATTCATGGAGAGAAGTGAGGAAGTTGTAAGCTGATATGAGAGAATGGCTCATAAGCTATTATTCCATATTGAACCATTCTGGCTTTGGGAACTATCTTAAGTGCAAGTCTGTAGAGGAATGAGCTATAAGAGTAGAAAACAAGAATGGGATAGAACAAGGGATGGGAAATAATACTTTGCTACCTAATGGATGATATAGCCCACAAAAAGGATAGTCCTTAATGACAATGAATTAGTGAATCATTTCTACATGAGCCTTTTGGTCCAGAGGTACCTGCAATACCCTTCTTCCAGCTGGAAATATGACTTCCTTTGTATTACTCTCTCTTTTGGATATAGATGGAAATTGCTATGCACTGTCACATTATGAGGGCTATCATGACTTCTTTCACTTCTCTCTCTCTCCCTAATATCTTCTCCCTCATTTGCCCTTATCGCCATCAATACTATGGCTGACAAATTAACCTATAATTTTTTTTAAAAAAGTACTATGTTTCAAGAGAATCTTTTATGCTCCCTACAGTTGTAACTGTGGAGCAGCTACTATTTCCACTGCACCCATGCCTTTAAAAAGCCGTTTTTAGCATGTTGGAGTAAACCTCAATCCAAGGATCTATGAAAATGTAATGGCTACACTCTCTTTTTTTCCTGCCCCTTCTTATTCCCACGCAATTGCTTAATGCAGATGGAACATTTGGATTTGATTGATTTCTGTTTACCTTGAGGCAAGGGAATGGATAATACTTTTTCTACAGGTGATCATAGTTAGAGAAGTTCTGAAATCTTGGGATATGCCCTGTTCTGTATCAAATAGAGCTGTAGGTTGGAGCCATAAGACTTTACCCTTAGCTTTATCCAGATAAAATCCCCCCTGTTGTTTGTGCAACCTTGATGAGAGCCAGTGTTACAGGATTTAGCTTCACCCAGTAGAACTGGCTGCAAACAAATATGAACACAAAGTGATGATGTTTGAATATGAAATAGGTGAGTTTGAGATTAAAAGTGTATTGCAGAATAGGATATATATGAGTGAGAGTAATGTTAGACTGTCGCAGTGGATAATTATACATTCCTGCCTCACTTCTGACCTTTCTGTAAGATTGAAGATGAGTTACATTTCCTTTTGATCATGCCCGGCCGTAAAATTGCCAGATCAGTTATCACAACTTGTGTCTGACTCAGGCTGCCAAAAGCTTTATATGCAGAATAAGAACAGGAACATATCTTTATTCGGTCAATGACCAGCAAATTTAAGAGAACAATGACAGAATAAAACAAATTGATAGAATAATATAGTAAAAGACAGATCACATAATAATATTACATTCACTGCTCTATAACCATATTAATACATTAATTACCCAAATAATAAGTTTAAAAACTAAAAACTATGATTTTTAAGTAAATGTCCCTTAGCAACTTATTAAGTAAGAAATATCAATCCGTAAGTGATATTAAAAATAAAAATAAAAGTAAAAATGAACTTCTTCAACCAATTACTTCTTTAACCGTTTTTGCCTTATATACCTTGTAGCAACACAAAATTTAGCTACCACATAGGTAATAGCGGGTTTTAAATCCTGGAGAAGATGATTCAGATAAAATTTGTCTGGTCTCCCTGGGAATTTATCTGTTGGGGTGAAATATAAATAGACCTTATATCCCTATAAAATTTCCAACGTAATAAAATATGTGAGATGTTTTCTACTTCCTTATCGCCACATGGACAGATGTGCTCTGCTATGGGGATTTTATTATACCTGCCTTGAAGTAGTGCTGATGGGAGAATGTTGTATCTAGCTTTAAAAAAAGCTATTCTCAACTTGGAGAAAGTTAGGGTTTGTAAATACCATGCTGGTTCCCATATACCCCTGTTTATCCTCATTCTATCATGTTGGGACAGCCTGTGAATTTCACTTTGGAACTCTACATCCCTTATTCTTTGAATAGTCAAATGCTTGGTTTGAACATAGCCCATTGATATCAAAGATGGAAGAGAGAGCCATATGAAGCCAACTTATGCTCTACCACCTGTTTCCAGGGAGAAGAAAAAACTAAGGCACTCAGAATAGTATGCAGAATAGTGTCACTGAGAAGTAACAGTGTGGTTTCCTCATGCTCAGTTGAGTCCCTAGGTTTGCAAAAATAAAATAAATAAACAAGAAGAAGCAACACTCAGTTCCCTCAGAAACTGAAAAACAAAAATCCATGCTGGTCTTTGCTTAGCATAATGGAGGGAGACCACGGGAGAAGGGAATGAAAAGTAAGCAAAAAGAATTATTTAAAGAATGGTGGAAGCAAAAGAGTGACTGATGGTGAGGATAAAGAACCGAACCCTGGCAAAAGATAAAGTACAATAATTTATTGCAGGTCCCAACAGATGTAAGGTTGCTAAAGTGGATTGGATGCCTCACTTTGCCATAGGCATCTCAGTAAAAGTGAAATTAAATGTAATCAGGAAAATCAGATTGAATCTCCCAACTTTTTTTTTCTTTATTTAACAACCAGTGAAGGCAGGGGTTGGATTAGGGCCAAAGCACTGGAAGAGCGGGAAATTAGATCTTCCCCTGCTGTTTCCCTAGGTAAAATTGCCCCCTTAAGCTTAATTGTGCGGAGCAATTAATTCCAGTAATAATGGTAAGGGTAATCCAGGGCCAGCTCCCAGCTAGAGAGCCAGGATCGCAGGGAGATTACACAGTCTCCCTCTACATTCCAGCAAGGGGAAGATCAGGCCAGGCATTGTCCTTTTTGAGAGGACATGGCAGCTGTTTCCCTTCCAGAGCAGTCACACTTCTCCTGTGGCTACAGATGTGGAAAGAAGAATCGGAAAAGGAAGAGCTACCGTGTGTTCTCTCCATGACAGAAATGCCTCAGAAATACCAGCGGTTCAACTGCAGCCTGCTAGTGATTTGGGGAAGGGAAAATGCAAAATATTCAGGGAAATTCATTTGTATGTTTTCCCTTTCTTTGGGAGGGGGGAGGGTAAATGTAGCATTTAGAAACTTTATACAAGCCACCAAAAACAAAGCAGGCTATTTGTCAATTAAATGACTTTATAATTCAAAAGTTTGTAGAACGTGGAAGAAGAAAGCAACATATCTGGAGCTCTCATATGCTGACAACCCCTTTCTATTTTTTGCGCTGTTAAACAACAACAAAAATAGTGTAGAACAATATGTTGCTTTAGTACCTACAACAATACCTTTGCACAATCTTCACAATGAATATTCTTTATGCGTCTCTCTGTTTCACTTTCATTGTGTTCCTATATCAGGTGTGCCTGAAGCGGAACTTACCTGGTTCAGGAATAAAATCAAGCTGGTGCCTGACCTTCATATCCATGATGGGTCACTCCTGATTCCAAACGTGTCTATCTCAGACCAGGGGTTGTACTCCTGCAGGGCTGCCAACATCCGTGGGGAGGTAACAGAAAGCACACAGCTACTAGTCCTCGGTAAGTGAAAAGAATACTATCTTTTTGAGAATTATTTTGTCATTTTCTTGTTCTCCAACAGAAAAACTTGGGATCAAAGGATGTGCAGCTGTGTAGTATAATTTAATGGGAGAAAAAATTCAACATCCATCTAAACTTTAAATGTATTTGTATTTAATATATAGATTTTCTTTAATGGAAACTAATGGAAATTTTCTGGAAAGGGGAACTGATAAATAACTGGAGTGCAAAAGGCATAAGGAATTTACTCCTTTAATATCCTGTTGTTATCATGAGAAGAATCAATCTTCTATAAAAGGCATTTCTATTAGGACCAGCTTTCCTACGGATACCTAATGGGACTTTTTCTGTAAACAAATGTCCTTTCATCCCACAGCAAATACCTTTCTCAGAACTGGGCTTTTCCTCAGCGAAGAAGTCTGGGAAGAAAGGACAGCCTTTCCCATCTTCACTTATTTGAAACCCATTATTTATTGACCCCCCTCCATTGGAAAACTGATCCTACTTTCAACTTAAATAAGGTGTATGGTAATTTTATGCCTAGCACTACCAAATCTGGGCTGCTGCAATCTGGAACCCTACCAGATAGCAGCAAAGTAGTTGTTTTCTGTGCCTCTTCACTGTCTTCTAAGGGTCAATCAGATTTTTCCAACCCAGACGTGGTAGCCATTGGTGTCATTTGTCTCCTGAGGGAAGGATGAAAATTCTTGTCATTGATTCCAATTTCTCTGCTTTGGACTTGTTGTGAATGGCAGTCTAGTGAAGCTAGTCTTTGGAATATAGTTACAGGCATTTCACATAGAAATCGCTGAGAATGCTATCTGACACTGACCTGAATAGTGGAACCATGAAACGCAGCGATCCAAAATATTTGCCTGCAAATAAATATAATTCACCTCAATGTGTTTTACTTCTGAGTCCATATAAGACTGCATGGTAAACAAAAATGTAAAACATTTAGGGGTTTAAAAGGTGTACCTCAGGGAGAGGGGCACAAGGGCCATTCATCTTTCCTGCCTTCAGATCAGCCATTTCCCGCTGCTTTGCTCTTACCTGGCAACTGTGAGAATAAAAATTAAGCTGTCTTAAGTGGTTGTGCCAAAGAAAGAAATCTCTGCTGTGAAAAAACAGAGAGGAAATTGCTGATTGCTGTGAATTACAAAAGAGTAACCGCAACAAATGCCCTTACAATATAATTCTTTTCCCCCCTCTTCCAGTTAATATGAAATATGTCAAAGGGACAGACCTTTAAACCTGGCTGAAAATCTCATCCACATCCCCAACTCCCACTGACATCCCTGAGACCTGTAGCGACACCCCTGCGCTTAGCTCCACTGGGTTCAGGGTTGGGAGAGGATTAATCAGCCTTATGGCAGCTCTTCCAACTGGCTGAAGGCAGAAGGGATCCTTTCTCCAGAGCAAGCTTTCCTCAATGAAAACAGCATCCTCCCGTTTTCTGTCCCACTGCCGTTGGAGAAGCAAGACCTATGATAAATCACAAAGTGACACGGACCAATTTCACACCTCGCTGACAAATGCATAAACTTCGCCTGCCCTTTTTTTTTTTTTTTTTTTAATATACAACAAAAAAGGAGGGACTCGGGTCATTGAAGGGTGAAGTTTACTTTGTCTTGCGTTTCCCAATAGGAAACAGTTTGAGCTTAGCTGGGTGATTTAGAAAGGCACTGTCAGGCCCAGAGCCTGAGTGGAAATGTGCTCCTGGAGCTGATTTATGATACTTGGTGATGGATTTCCCTTCCTAATAACATGCTTGTGCCACTTTTACTCCATACTGCTTGAGAAGAGAAAGACAGCAGGCTACACTAAGCAAAAGCTACTGTAGATTTGTTGATGAGGTGTGCTCATTCTGGAGACCCATGTGTACTCCCCAGTCATATGACAGGACCCTTGGCAGCTCTCATTTTTCAGGGTTTGGTGTTTGGCTGTTTGTTTGTTTGTTTTAATTTTGCTGACACAAGCTTCCTTAGCAAAGGTTGGAGAAATTTCCCTTCCATTTCCCTTCTCTCTCTTGCTATCTTCTCCATTTCTCTGACATCCAGTTTTTAACGTGGGCTTTTCTTAGAATCTATTAATTTCACCAAGATTAAGTCTTTCTGAATGGATTACTAAATAACATTAGGAATTAATCTCATCGATACAGAAAAAGTTCCTTATTGTATCTTAGTCTCTGTAATATATTCCTAGACCCACCGCAACTCCCCCATCAATTTGAAGACATGGCAACCACTCTGTCACGCATGGGGCCAGGCATTCCTTCTGTGATAACATCTCCTTCAGGAACAAGACAAATATTGAGCCAAGGAAGCTCTGTGCTCATAGGTAAGTTCCACCTTTTAAAAATCTGTCTGCCCTGAATCTGCTTCCTCCCACCCCCAAGAGGTTGGAAAGAAATTGTTAGGCTGAGTGTAGGGAGTGATTTTGTTCTCATGATCAGTCCCAGCACAATTCATTTACATCAGCCTCATTTTCAAATACATATAGCTGCTGGTAAGTTGTTTTTCTTCTTGCTGAAGATTAAGTAGAGATCTACTCCCAAATGTACTGTAATACTTTGTGATTGTTGCAAGGAATTTTGCCCAGAACATGTTGGCTTCTCTTTCTGTAGGTGAAAAATAATCTGTTTAGGGTTCATACTTGCAAGCTTCTGGAGAGTTATTAAAAATAGCAACTGTAGATTAATTACCTATCAAATAAAGATGCTGCAAATAATAATGACTACTTCTGTTGTGCCAAAAGTATTAATCTGACTCTTTACTCCTGAGCTGAAGTATTTTAAAACTTTGCTCTGTAGAAAATTCTGGATATGTCTGACAAGCAGTCCCAAGTGCTTCCTTTCCCACATACTTTCTCAGATGCCCAGAAATATGATCTTCTTGGCATATGATAATCAATATGAAATCAAGTATGTATAAACCAGTGGCTGAAATGAAATGTAAAGAAACCCTGCTGATTTCTCATTCACTTTCTAATTGTACAAATGAGTGGGGAGAAGAAGGATGAGTGAACTACATTTCCTTGCTATTTATACATTGAGAGTCAGTCCAGAGAGTGACTGTCTACAGAGCTTCTCTACATATCTAGAACCTTGAACAATTAAAGTTCTAAATCACAAGAAGATCTTTACTGCAAAGTTGCTCTCAGTACATTGAGAGTAATAACTATAGTGACTGAAGGCATTGGCATCCTCAGGGGAGGAGGGGGGCACAAGGATCACCCTGTTAACACTACCTCTACCCTTTTTGTACATGTAACATGATGTTGCATCACAATGCTCATTTTGTCATTTTGACTGAAGGAATGTCTCTAGTAAGCATGTTGTCCTAGTGTCTTGCTAAGTATACCCACTAATCCTACACAGAAAAAATCTTCATTTTTTGTCTTAGTTCTTATTCAATTTGATGAGGATAAAAGAGAATCTGCTTCTGAAATTTTGTTCTAATGAGAAAAGCACTTTTAGGGAAATTTACAAAGATGGATTATGATGCTCTTGCACTTAATTATAAAGTGGGTGAATGTTCTTTCCCTGAGCAGTCATTTCTTTAGCTGTCTGTAGTGTCCCTGCTTTACCATGCTTTGGTTAAATCCCAAGGGCCTATTCTGGTTGGGTGGTTTCAGATAGGAAACTGTAGCCAATCAGAGAGGTTCAGTAAGATGGAAAGATGTGTATCAGAAAGCAACATTATTAGCTGCATTCTGTGTTCTCCATCACTTCCAGCAATAAAGTAAGCTCAAAAACACCATCAAGAGAAATTGGGAAGAAATTTTCAAGCATACTGAGAATAAGGTAAAAAAAAAATAGGTCCTCTTTTTCAAGGGAAGAAATTTTTTGAGAAATGGCAAGGTAGATTTCAGCACTAGGCCAGTACCCACATTAAGATTACCTGTGCAAAACCTGTCTCTCTTGTGTTATAATTTTTAATATACGTTTCTTGGAAATCATTTATAATCCAGCCAAGGAATAAGCTATGCTACAATGTTTGGAATGAAGCAGAGTTCACAAATTTTAAGAGAAATTAATAAGTAATACTTAAATATTTAGGTGGAAATTAAATCAAGGACAGTAAATCTATCCATGGTAGCTACTGATTTGTACTATTATATAATTCAACACAGAGAAGAGAGTTGTTGCATTTATACATTATCAGCTATTCATAAACAGATGCCTCAAACAATTCTGAAATGCCATCATTTAATAATATTTTGTCAATCATCCATTTAAGATTTAAAAAAAAAAATTGATTAACTCAGCAACTGGAAAAAAAAAACTTACTCTGTTACATAATTATGGTTCATTCCTACAAGCAAAAAGGGATATTTTAATGGAAAAAATAAGGTAAGGTTATTTTCTTTTTATTGTTGCAATTTTATTGGAAGGAAAACTGGATTTTATTTTTTTTATTTTTATTTTTTTTGCTGTTCGTATTAAAGATGCGCTAGCTGGTAAATGAAATGCTAGATAGGTTGGCAATATTTCCACGAAACTCCCAGATCACTCTTTCAGTTAAACAGGAAAATATGGTGGCAAAGAGCAGTATAACAGAGAAAAGCGATATAAATTGAGACCTTTTACCCACTTATTTTCCAGTTCTCACTCCAGGGGCTTTTTACTCAGCTGAGCTTAGTTCTGGTATCAGAGCTTGAGCAAAGAGAGAAATAATCAGTGGACAGGAGAAGGAGTTTTAAAAAGTGTATTAAAATCTGACTTGCTGACTTTGTTCTGCATGATTGAAGCAGTTCTTTATTCAGACATATGGAACTAACACCATCACTTCTAGTGTCCTCAAATTGAGATGACTGATGTCTTGTTCCACACCTGACTAGCTATATTTAGAGCCAAACATAGGTAACCTTAACCCTATATCTCATAATATGGATCATGAAGCACATACCGTACTATAACTCCTTCAAGGGCCCTTTCCACAGTGCTGACCCCCCCAAAAAAATTAAAATTTCCAATTGATTCTAGTTTTCTCTACCCACTTTTTCTTCCTTTGCAGAACTTTAAATAGATTCACAAAGCCACAAATAATGTGTGTGTGTGTGTGTATAAACCATTGTTTAGCAATTCACTGAACAACGTTAACTTCAGGTCGGACAGTTGAAGTATCTTGAAATTATGCTGTCTATCAACATCACATTAAACTTTTAGTGGGAAGAAATGATGCTATTCAGGCTTCACATCCACCTGTTCATAACATTAAGCACTAAAATTCTCATGATGTCTTGCAACTTCATGTCGATCTTGTCCAACACTGAGACATTATCATGAAGAGCAGGCCCTTAGCATCTTTCTTTAGAAATGAGAAAAACAAGTTTGGTGTCCAGTTCCCAGTCCTGTCAGACTATTGGCATGATTCTGCTGTCAACAGTACAGAAAGACATTGAAAAGCCAAAAGAACCAATAGCAGTCTTCATTTCTTCCACAAGACATTGTCTCCCGTTATGTCTGCAGCATCTGTTCCAAATCCTACCCAAAGCATTTTGGAAATATGTTTAAAGAATTGGTTTCCTCAGAGGTCAAGCTGTTAGCCTAACTAATGGCCAATATAGACATTATGAGGCAGCAATACTTATTGTATCACACCTATCCCATATATAAAATGAAGGTTGATTGATTTTCACATGTAATCGAGTACACAAATTCCATCATGTCAAGCAATTCATTTCACCATGAGCAGGTACCATGCTAGATGAAATTACGTGACCACTAAAGCAAAGTAGGTAAAGCACAAATATTAGTAAAGATTAAAATAACATTAAGCCAATCATTAAAATCTCAGGAACATTAAATTATTTTCCTCTCACATCAACAAGAACTTCCTGGAAAAAGAATTCCAAAGCCTTGATGCTACTGAAATGGTCCTTTCTCCAAGCATCTCCTGCTTCCTCTCTACTGGAGACATCTGTAGAAGAAAATGCACAGGCAGACATTAGGAGAAAAAGCAGCTCTTGGGATACCTAGTTCACATGCCTTTTAAGGCATTAGATGATAATTTGAACACTTTTTAAAAGATTAGCTGCTATTGAGTCTACAAAAATTGGAGAAAGGTTCTTTATGTTACAGAAATCATGACAATTGAATCCTTGTCATGACAGGGTGAACACTAGTATTAACTGATGAAATAGTCTATTGTTGAACTCAACTTCATGTTTGATAAACATCTCCTTTTACCCCTGTGTATTTGAATGATAGAGAGCCAGTTTGGTGTAGTGGCTAAAGGCACCAAACTAGAAACGGAGAGATTGTGAATTCTTGCCCTGTCCTAGGCACAAAGCCAGCTGGGTGACTTTGGGCCAGTTACTTAGTCATAGGAAGAAGGTAATGCCAAACCACTTCCGAAAATGTTGCCAAGGAAACTGCATGGATTTGTCCATGTAGTCACCAGGAGTGAAGACTAACTCAAAGACAGAAATTAAAAAAACTTTAGTGATGCCCAGACAATGACCCAGACTTTCAATACAAGTTGCTTTAAAAATAATAGCTCTGATTCATAGGTGGTATGAAATAAGAACAGTAGCATTAGCCAGGAAAATGTGCTTTTTATGACCAGAGAAATACAGTCAACTGTAAAAAGGAAATCCTGCTGTTCTATATTTATTGTCTTCTCCCCTAGTGATTTCCATATCAGATTTGCTCAGTTCTCAAGTCAAACCAAGGTCTGTCTAAATTCAAGCATAAGCTTTGAATCTTAGAGAGCTGGCGTCTTTCTTTGATCATATCTCATTCCCATTTACTATGGAATGAGAGTGTGGGACCACTTTATTGATTCAGAGATTGGACAATAAGGATACATTTTCCTATTATGCAAGCCATTGCATTATTTAATTATAACAATCATGTAATGATAGGAACAATATTCCTTGTGTACATGTTATTGGGTAAACGCATGAAAAATTATTCTAGCTCTTGTCTATTGATTTGCCCTTCACTTCTGGATCAAATATCCACCACTGCCCAGAAGAAGGAGAAGGAGAGGGAATGAAGGCAAATGGAAGTACTGCTCTTTCTCCTGCTACATTGCTCATCTGTTTGGAGAAGCCAGATGACTGGGTAGCTGCAGCTATGAAAAGTGGAGTTAAGAAGTTCTGAGATCCAGTGGGAGTTCACTTGATAGAACATTGGCCCCAGCAAGAGCCATGTGATGTTGGCCTCAGCCAATACCATCTTTTCTTCAGCATAATTTTATGGGTACTGTCCAGAACAAATAAATTGTTGATTTTACAAGCAGTTATCTCATTCCTTCTCAGTATCTCTCCATACTTCCTTAGGTAGAATTCAGTATCCTTCATGCAGATATCAGTGAAAGAATTTTACCATCAGTTTCAAACTAAACTGCTTCTCTTTTTTTTTTTTTCTTTTCCCACAAAAGTAAGTAATCTCATTATCTCAGAACTGAAACAGGCTGGAAATAGACAAACATGCTGTTCACTATCCGATAGTATTTTCCTATTTAATACCTACTCTGTTCAAATGAATGATAAAGGGAGGGGCAAATATGGAATATTGTGGCTACCACTGGAGATGTAAAATAAATCTTCTGTGGAATTGCATGGGAGTGAAATTGCCCAATAGGTTCCATTGCATGGGCTGCAATAGAGTCCAGTAGCATCCAACTTTCTCTGCATAACAAGTTACATAAAGAACTATATGTTTGAGAAAGTTACATCTAAAAAATATCTCAGATTAGTTCCAGCAGTTAAAGCTAGTCCCAAGTTGACCATGGTACTCACTGGGTGACTTTGGGCCAGTCACTTCTTCTCAACACAGCTTCCCTCACTAGTTTCTTGTTGTGTAGATAAATTAGGAGAAAACCCACCTCAAATTATTGCCTTAAGCTTCTATTAAAAAGTGGGGTATACAAATACAATCCAGAAATACATGCTTTGGGGAACTTGTGAATAATAATGTTGTGGTATTTTATTATTAAAAAATTGACATTGAAACAATGACACAGGCTTGGAGAAAAAAATTAAACATATTGGTGATAGTATGAATGATAAACCACCAGGGCAAAAGTATTTTCCTATAGAATCATATAGAGCATATATAACATTTACAATTTCTAAATGTCTATTCCATATCACAATATGTGTATTTCGTACATTACCAGCTTCTCTAATGAAATTTATTCTATTGAAATTCCTAAACCAAGTAATTATAGTTCATTAACAAATGTACATATTAAAATATTATCTGACTTTCTTCCTAACCAACTCTGGGGGATACTTACAAGCTTGATATACCCTGATCAAGCAGGATTTATTTATCAAAGCACTGACAGTTTGACATATTAAAAATCTCATAGCTTCAAATAAAGCTAAAATGGATCAAGTTATAATTATTGTCACTGTATGCAGCAAAAGCTTTTGATAAAATTGATTGGCAATGCCTATTTTCTGTTTCAAAATGCTAATTTCCCCAGGAATTCTCATAGTTTATATTATACAGCTTGATAATGCATGGACAATTTCCTCGGGAAATATTCAGCATAGTTTTGACCACATGCATGTTTCGTCAGAGATTGAAAAATCTCCAAATAAGAGAAACATCCCTGTCGTTTAAGGGATAACATGTCAAATAAACATAACTTTTGGAAATTGAATCTTGAAAGTTGATATGGAAAAAAGCCTCCTGTTCTCTTCATCATCTAATAGCAAAGAGAAATAAGTCAGGAGTCACTTCAGTATATATCTTGTTGGGGACCCTCTAGAAAAAAAATAATGAACATTAATATCATAGAACAAATGCAGAACAGGACAGTGACTATGATCAAGGGATTAAAAGTCCCATGAAGAGGGACTAAAGGAACCCCTGGGGTGCTCAACCTTGAGAATACCAAGGAGGAATATAATAATCATCAAGTCTACCTGAATGGATGTTGCACAGGAGAAGGCCAAGATATGTTCTCTGTCATTAGAGAGCAGAATAATGGATATAAATTGCAGGAAAGCAGATTCTGGTTGAACGTAAGGGGAAAAACCCCAATCTTAATAGCAGTTCAACAGTGCAACCAGTTACTTGGAGAACTAGTAGACACCCCTTCTTGGGATGCATCCAAGCAGAGGCTGTTCAACCATCCGTCTTGGGTACTTTGGATTACCACATGAAGCAGGCAGTTGGAGTTGATGGCCTAAATATGAGAGAGAGAAAAGAGACGGCCCTTTCGAGCTCTCTGAGTCTATGAACCTAATAAATAATAGTTCACTTGGCAGATAGTTTTGGTAGCACACTGACCATCTGCTGACCTTTCTGCACTTTTAGTTTTGGATTGTAGTGTTCGTTTAAATGTATCAATATTTAATCCTACTGATATTATTTGTAATACTTTCTGTTTCAATAGACCTCCCTAACCTTATATCCTGACTTTTATGCTTGCATTCCTCATATTTATTTTATTTTATTTTATTTTATTTTATTTTTTATTTTTTATTTTTATTATTTATTTTATAGGAAATGCTTACCCAGGGCAAGCTCTATCATTAGGCAGAATGAGGCAGCATGTTCAGATAGTGGATGCCAATGAGCAGAAAGTGGTAATAATGATCATTCACCTGTTGTTGCCCAGTATGATGAAGATGTTGCCCCATTAGAGGTTGACGAAAGATACCACTGCTATTCTGGTTGAATTATTCAGGAAGGATGAGGGTGGGGCAGCAGTGTATGTTGGACCAGCACTAGGATATCATTTAAAAGGTATTGTTAGGGGCATCTTGGGAGGATGATTAAGGCACCAGCTTTTTAGTTTCAGTTAATAAATTTGTTTATTAACTTCATTGCTTTTAATATTAACATCATTAGTGATTTTGAATTGAATGTAGTAAAGCAGAGATGACGGACGGATGGATGATTCATTGCTTCATTATCAACTTTTGACTCCCCAGCTGTTTTTGTTATAGCAAGAATACATGATTAGTGGTTATCCAGTGTATTAAGTTTTGACCTACTTTTCTGCTTTTTTTATCTTCTAGGCTGCCCAGTAGATGGTCATCCAACTCCTAACATCACTTGGTTTTACGATGGCCATCCCTTCCATCTGCCCCATCAGGTGTTGGCATCTGGTCAGATTCTCCAGATCCTGAATGTCAGCAATGATTATCAGGGAGAAATCAGCTGCAAGGCTCAGAATGAGGCAGGCTTGCTTATACAAACAACGTCTCTGACCATCCAAGGTAAAATATATTTCTAGAGCAGCCTTACTCAATCTGGAATCCTCCAGGTATAAACTTCAGTTTCCTATAGTTTCTGCAAATTATGACAGCTGAAATCAAACTGATCTTTTGAACTAACAAATTGAATACACAGTTCTGTGGAGAAAAAAATGACCCCTATTCTGGTTTTCTGAATTTTTGTACATCTTTGCCACTGAATGTTATCAGAGCTTCATGTAGGCTATACAGAGGGAGTCTGAGGAAATACCTAACACAAAAGTTAGTGCTTGTTTCATTTATTCCAAACAGAAATCTCATACGAAAGTAAACAGTTTCTGGACAGTATTTTGTAATATTTTGTATTATTTTAATAGTAGTATTTTGGAATATTGTATTTTATCCAAGTATTGCCTCCTGATGAATTTTTTTTCCTGGATTCTGTAAGTATAAAAATAAACACAAGTGGTTTTATGTCAGATTGCTTACCCTGAGGAGAAAAAAAAAAGACAGCCATTTGCCATAGATAGCTATGACTGTGTCGATAGAATGCAGTCGACTGGCAGAGGCATTATAATGAGGTCATTAAGGTCTTGGACTAAGAGTGGGGAGACTGAGATTCTAGTCCACCCTCTACTACAGAAGCTTACTGGGTGCCTTTGGGGAGTCACCTCTTTCTCATTCCAACCTACCTTACAAAGTTATTGTTCTGTGGACTTTTTTTTTTTTGTATTCTTTAACTTTGTCAATTAACAAGCATACATGAGCAATAATGTTGCTTATTCCTTGCCCTTTCAAAACCAGTTTGAACTCCTGACATTTCCCTTTCTATGTAGGGCTCTAATCTGTGTTGGATGATCTTAAGCATTATTTTATTTGCACGTGGAATTATATTGTGTGATAGTTTGAACAATCTGTTAAGTCTCCTTTCTTTGGTACTGATATGCAAGCATACCTCTTTCAATCTGTTGGCCACTTGTTATTCTCCAGATTTGCTAGCATAGTTTGGATAGAACCTTTATTACTTACACACACACACACACACACACACACACAGCACTGTGTATGCCACCTTGAGCTCCTGTACATTCTTATCATTCTTTCTATTGACTAGGTTAGACTTTTTAACTTTGTTGATCTGTTGTGATTTCAGATTATGGGTGGTCAGTGGATAAGATGTCCCCTTGTTCGGCCTCTTGTGGTAACAAGGGTCTACAATATCATCAGCTGAAATGCTTACTGAATGGAACCCAAGTCAACATATCCCATTGCCTGGAAAAACCCAAGCCAAATCTGCAGCCCGTGGCATGCAATAGAAGAGATTGTCCTTCAAGGTTGGGCCTTCCATTGAAATGTATAGTGTGTGTCAAAAACATCACAATGAAGCAATGATTACTAACCTTTATAGAACAAGTGCTTATCTAAGCATCAGAATGAAACTTGCTTTATCAGTTTTAAACTGCCTGGCAGCCAGGGGTGAATTAAGAGTCCTTTTGCAGGACAGAGTAAAGCATCTGTCTTATTTATTGTGAAGGAATGTCTACTGCCAAGGAAAACCTGGCTGGTCTGAGATACTATGCATCTTGACATGCAAGTATGTAAAATTGAGCACATCAGATTTTACTGATCTAAATAAAGCAATGATCTGACTCAGCATAAGACACTATCTTGTGTATCTATGCTCTGAGTATCTTGCCTAACAGTTTTCTCACAAAGTAACAGCAGAGCTGTGTGTCAACCATAGAAGCAAATATTGAGATCAGCATGGACTAGCTACCGTAGAAGAATCTGCTTTATTATTTTTACATAAGATTTCATATACCTCTTTTAATATAAACAGTCTCAAGATGAATTGCAAGAAATAGCTGGGTTTAGAAGAGTTAGCAAATTATGAAATGTACACATCGCTATCTATAAATTTCTGAGCAGCTAGGGGAATACTTCTGTAGGAGTGATATGCCCACTCACCTTTCCCTAAGCTCCAGTATCATCCATTCCACTCTCCTGACTTCGTTGGAAACTGGTGAAATATGTACATGTTTGGAAAGTGAAAGATACCAGAAATGTTGCACTGAAATTTATATGGGTCAGAAAAATATATGATTTGATTTTCAGATAATGAGATACAAAGAAGAAAGTGTTTTTCCTTGACAACTTTTTTTTTACCACTGTGTTTTTTCATTACACACACACACATACTACAGCATGTATATGCATGTGTAATATACCGTTACAGAGAACCAGTTTGGTGTACTGGTTAAGGTACCAGGCTAGAAACTAAGAGACTTGAGTTCTAGTCCAGCCTTAGGCACAAAGAGAGCTGGGTAACCTTGGGCCAGTCATTTTCTCTCAGCCCTAGGAAGTAGGCAATGGCAAGTCACTTTTGAAATCTTGCCAAGAAAACTGCAAGGACTTGTCCAGGCAGTCACCAGGAGTCAAGACTAACTCGAAGGCATATATATCTCATGAGTGTGTGTGTGTGCGCGTGCACACACACACACACACACACACTGTTTATCATTCAGTTATCCCAAATATACTGATAATTTCTCATTTGTGTGTGAGTGATGTGAGTTTGGATCAATTTCTGCCATTCATCACCATCTGTGTTCTTCAACAGAGAGAAATACTTAGTTTTTCCAAGTTTAGATGCCAACAGTAAGAAACCTTTAGCTTTAGCCAAACAGACAATGGGGTGTTATTTCAGAAGAAACAAACTGGAAGTTTTGTAATATCCCTACGGTTCTTTCAAAGTAATTTCACTGAAAATTCTACTCCCTTATATCTCCCCATTAGATGGATGGTAACATCATGGTCTCATTGTACCCAAAGCTGTGGGGGAGGTATCCAGTCCCGGAGGGTGACTTGTCAAAAGCTGAGTGCTGCTGGCATTTCCGTTCCTGTGTCCAGTGATATTTGTGCTCAACTTGCCAAGCGTCCAGTAGATACCCAGAGCTGCAACAGACAGCTGTGTGTGGAGTGGGCAGCTTCTGCCTGGGGACAGGTAAGTACACATGGCCAGCACTAATCATTGTGCTTCTGAGAGGGCAAAGATACCAATGTAGTTAAAGGTCTAGTTGTATTGAATATGAAAGAAATATTATTGAGGTGGTTTGGTCTTATAGAGAACACAAACAAGGATTGAACTGTGAAACAAATATACAAAGGAAGAATGAGTAGGTCAAAAGGAAGGGGAAGACTGAGGCAGTTGTGATAGGATGGAGTTGAGGCTATCTTCAGAACGAAAGTAGAATACAGGTTGGTAGAATAGACCAAGAATAATTGCAAAGTATGCACTGGCTTCAAGCAAAACTAAATGTGTCATTTTTCAGTCAGCAGGATCTCTGCACTGAAACATACATACCCATACACACATATATATAAACATACACAAGTTCTTCTTTTGTGTGTACTAGAATATGTTTGCTCCAGCATTGAACAGGAATGCCACATTTATTATTAAGGATAGTGCCTGGAGAAAATATATATACAGTATATATATTTTTCCCATGTGGAATTTGGAATTTCAGGTAATTTTTTTTTTTAATGCATGCAGTCTTCCAGGTCCCTCAGAAAGGTGACTCTTAGTTTATATCATGCCATGATGTCATATCCAGGCTCAGTTATCAAAAGCTGCATTAATTCATCTGTTTCAGGTGACCTTTTGGCTTTCTAATATAATATTTCTCCAGCCAGGAAAAGGAGGGGAGTTTTTTAAGCACGATGGAAACATATACAGCTCCATTCTGAGGCAGGTCCACAAATGATTATTGTAATTACAATTAAGAACAGATTATGGGGTATAAATAAATGGACTTTTATTATTGTATCATAGAGTTCATCCCAAAGGATATCAGATTCCTATTGGCCAAGCTCAATTTCTTGAGCTTTCCCAAAATGCAGAGGAAAGAAGCATATTCTTTTGACCCTTTGAAAATAAGCCTTTCCATTATTCCTGTCTCCTATAATCTAGTTTTGACATGGCTCTTGTAATGATACCAGAGAAGGGGATTTGATGCAATTATTTCTCAAAGAAAAAGAACCTTTGCTCATGTTTATAGTTGAACTTTTGACATTATGGTTTTGAAATCTGATGGAATTTTTACTTATACTCTGAAGCGAGGGAGTCAAATCTTTTTGCAGTATGTCCAGACCCTTGCTGGGAATATCTTTGGTTACATTAACATGAATGAGTCTAACTGTAGTTTTCTTTCATGAAAACCAAAGAAAATAACAGCATAACTGTTTTTCCGTTCTGCCCATCCCGCTCCTTGTCCTTACTTTCCTCTCCCTGCTTCAGAAACTTGTAATCAGAGGGTGGGATCGACCGTACCTTAAGGCTACCAAGGACATTGTGTGTCTGAGGCTCAGAACCCAATCACAGGAAAGACGAGAATTGTGCCAAGTAGACCCCCTCAGCTGACAAGCAGTGCATAGCTTTCAGATGAGCCAGGACTGATATAAATGTTAGGAGCTAATATGCCAATAATTAATCTTTTTAGAGACCTGGAGAGAATCCCAGTAATCAAATTCAACAACTTAAACTTTAAAGACAGACTCTGACTAGAATGGATGGTGTTCTTTGAGAAGAACAGGATAATTGGAAATGAATTATAATCAAATCATGTTCTATCCTAGTGGTTTTTGTTTTGTTTTGTTTTGAGGCAGATCTGTGTTCAAAACTAAACTTATTATATCTTTTCCCATTGAAGGCAGTATTCCTTAAATATCTCTGGATAAATATTCACTAACCGTATTTTACCGAGCCATTCCTTGTATCTCTCCAGAAACATCCCTTAGGGTTTTGGTGGGACTTTTAAGGATTAATGAAAGCTTCAAGCACTCATAATATGTTACATTGTAAAGAGAGGAAGAGGATTAAATCTAAATCACGAGTGAAGGTTTATTTCCACTATCATAAGTGAAAAAGTTTCATGCAAGTTTATTAGCTGCATTCGTTAAATTTCTAGTGCTTAACTAATCATGTCTTCCTTTTCAATTATTCATTTTAGGAAATATGCCTTACCTAATACTGTGTTATACTGGTTCCCTATCAGTTGTCGTAAATATTTGTTGTAAAATGTCCAGCAGACTAGATACAGTGACTTTTCTAGAATAAAATTTACACTGCAAGTCAAGAAAAGGGATGAGAAAATGAGAATCAGAGATAAACAAACATTTTGTTTATTCAGATAGTTGAATTTATAAAGGGGGTAACAAATTGAGTGAGTGAGCAAGTTACACAACTCTACTAGCTTTGCTGAGGGAGATTAATATGGCAACTTTTCTGAAGGTTTCCTATTGTATATGTTCAAAACATCAGAATTGTAGCCAAATTTTGCGAAGAAAACTTCATGGACTTGTCCTGGCAGTTGCCAGGACTCAAAATGACTTGAAGGCACACACCCCTCAAAACACACATGTTCGCGCACACACACACACAGATACACACAGACCCATTTCACTAAGCATAAGATGCTTTATGCTTATTTCTGTAAAGTATAGTTTTGTTCTGCTACAGCCTCTTCCATTTTAGAATTCGTCAAGCTCAATCCACCAGCCAAACCTGATGGTTTATCACAGATTCAAAAATCCTATATCTTGCCACTCTGGGCAGGCAGCAAGTGAAAGTTTTTACATCTGTTCTAGCTGGTGTCTTGTTTTTCTTTGTTAACAGTGTAATGCGCCTTGTGTTGGATCTCGTCTGGCACTCCAGCACAGGCAGGTTTTCTGCCAGACCAGGGATGGGGTCTCTGTGCCTGCTGACCAGTGCAGTTCCCTTCCAAGGTAGGTCCCACGGACACCTTGAAAAAACCTGAAGCTCTGTGTTTCGGTTCTCACACAGCAATACATGATAACTGCTAATCACAACGAATGTTTTTGTCTTACTGATTATATATAAAGTCTCCAGCTCCCTCCTTGTTCTAATGATTTAGGAGGAAGTAATGCTTTTTCTTTGGGATAGTGAGATATTTTTTTCTGGATCATAACCACAAGCCTTTTCTGCAAAATACAGGTAGTCTTCACTTAATGACCATTTATTTAGCGACCGTTTGAAGTTACAGTGGTGCTGAACAAGGGGACTTACAACCAGTCCCCGCACTTACAACTGTTGCAGTGCCCCCGTGGTCATGTGATTGCAATCCATTGCTTGGCAACCAGCTTGCATTTACAACAGTTGCGGCGTCCCAGGATCACGTGATTGCCATTTGCAACCTTCCCAGCCAGCTTCCAGCAAGCAAAATCAATGGGGAACTGTGGGATTTGTTTAACAACCATGGGATTCACTTAACAGCTGTGGTGATTTGCTTAATGACCACTGCAAAAAAGGTCATAAAATTGGGCATGACTCACTTAACAACCACCCCGCTGAACAAATTTTCTAGTCCCTATTGTGGTCGTTAAGTGTCAGGCCTAGCCCAAGAACGACGATGAAACAGTACAGTACAGTACAGTTTCTTTATTTGCTTAGACCTTATGGACAGAATCTTGCCAAACTAGATCTATACTACAGCAACTAGTGGATATACCCTGTGAGATTCTAGGGAGTGGTTATCCTGAATCTCTTTCTGTTCTCATGCTCCGCCTGCGGACTATGCTGCCTCTTGCCTCCTCCCCCCTCCTGGAATGCATCCCCTCCTTCCTGATAGCCTTGATCTCCCACATCAGTCTCCTCCTCATAGATATATTCCATCACATCAGGTGAGGACTACCTGTATATGCTTTTCTACCATCTTCCTAATGTTTGAATATATTTGCATTCATCTGTGTATGGGGAACAGAGATGTGGTTGAAGCTCCAGCGGAAGCTATTTTAATTTGGAGGCCTTGCCTTGTGACTAGCAAAATCAGAATATATTATACAACTTGATAGGACTGTCTTCACAGTATCTTGTGAAGACGTTTTTGTCAATGCTTATTCTTGAGATCCAAATACCTCTGAAGTTAACCCTAGTTCAATTCCTGTTTGGACAATCTTGAATCAGTTTCCCTAAAAGATATATGCAAATATTGTTGTTTTCTGCATTTTCTGTATTTTCTGTATTTTTTTTCCCAAAGGCCTTTAAGCACTCAGAACTGCTGGACAGATGCCTGTGGTGTACACTGGAGAGTCAGTCTGTGGACTTTGTGTACTGCTACCTGTGGGAACTACGGCTTCCAATCTAGAAGAGTGGAATGTGTACGTGTTCATACCAACAAACCTGTGCAAGATCACTTATGTGCCTGGAGACCAAGGCCTGCTAACTGGCAGCGGTGCAACATCACTCCATGTGAAAATAGTACGTCTCTATAATTTCACACTCTAGTCAATGGGCAAAGCAGCGGTCTGAATATGCATATTCTTGTGAGAGATTCACACATCTCTCCCTACAAGTATAGGTAATCGGCACTTAACGACTGCAATTGGAACCGGCAATTCCACTGCTAAGCAACACGGTTGTTAAGTGAAACTTCATATTACTACATGCGACTTACAACATCATTTTCATTGTGGTCCTGAAGTGAATCACCCACGGTAGTTAAGTGCGATGTCATGTGACCACAACTTGCAACCTCCTGCCAGCTTCCCCATTGACTTTGCTTGTTGGAAGCTGGCTGTGAAGGTTGCAAATGGCAATCACGTGACCATGGGACTCTGCGACCATCATAAATGCATGCTGGTTGTCAAGTGCCCAGATTGCAATCATGTGACCATGGGGATGCTGCAACCATCGTAAGTGCAAGGACTGGTTGTAAAACTACTGTTTCAGTGCCATTGTAAGTTTGAACCGTCACTAAACACGACAGTTGTTAACCACCTGTAGTTATAGTTCTTCTACATGTAATTACATTAATTCTCTGCTTCTCAGATTTCTAATCGGATTATATGTGATAAAACTCTCTTCCTTGAGAAGAAAGTCTAGCTTCCCATATAATGTGCAAACACCATAAAAAGTGGAATTCTGTAGTCATTCTTAGGAATACTAATTAAGAAAGGACATTGTCATTAATGAAACCAGACAAAAATCATAGCTTGAAATACACAAGAGTGTTTGCTTAAAGGTGCCATATCTCTAGATCCTCTGTTGGATCTTTTCTGTCCTTTTTTTAAATCAAATAATTATTTTAAAAAGTTGTCACCCACACAGCTTACACTCACCTGGTAAGAATAGCCAGGGAGCTTTAACTCTGTATCCCATTCTCTCCATTCAATACCCTCTAAAAAGAGCTTTGAAAAAATTACATGTACTTTTTGTTCATACATTGCAAGTATAATAAGATGGGTGGGATGGGAATCAATTGCTGATAGGTGAGTCTTTTCCTGGATCTTCCTATACTAAGGTCAAGGTCATCTTTTTTCTTTCCCATATTCTGAACATTAATGTATAAGCAATGAAGGTCATGAACTTGATAGGGCAATATTCTGATTTTTCACTGAGCATTTCAATAGACCCAATGTAGCAACTCTCCTTCATGCTTCTATAGCGCACATCTATCTGAACTCCCTGTACCAGGCTGCTCTTTTTTTCTCTTCTCTTCCCCACACATCTATCCCTTCCTCTTGTCTCACCTTCATCCTGCTTGAAAGAAGGAGGGGAATGTAAGTGTTTGTACTTATGTATTCCTGTGTACAGAAGTGATTTATATGTGAGAGAAAATGCTTGGTATAAAGCAGATAGGGTTCAAATAATTTTAGATATGAGGTATCTTATTTATTTTATTATTAATTCAATTAATATCTACCTACTAATTCAGTTAGTTAATTAGTCCTGACTCCTTACACATTTATCAGGGAGGGGAAATCACTAGGACTAGTTTCAGCTGAAGCTGACAATCCTGGGCTGTCAGGGTGGGGCACCTTGGCATTTTATAGGACTTTTTGGGCATGTTCATATTTCAGTTTTTCTTTTGGAGGTGGGATTGACTTAAGTTCAGAATCATCTTCCGTCCAAGTAACTACAGATGTTCTAAAGCGAGCCAACCAGAAGATCCAAGATGAGATTGTTGTCCCCTTTTTTTTCTTACTCCTCTCCCCTTTTTCCTAGTTGAGTGCAGAGATACCACCAGGTATTGTGAGAAGGTGAAGCAGTTAAAGCTCTGCCAGCTAGCACAGTTCAAGTCACGCTGCTGTGGAACATGTGGAAAAGCATGAAGGCATCAGCAAAAGAAAGAAAGAGTGGATTTAGCTATCGATGGCCTTGCTCTTGCTCTGCTCTGTTCCTGAGAAGAGCTGCTTGAGAAAAGGAAAATGGGAAAAGCATTGCCTCATTTGCCATTTATTTATTTATTTTTCCTTTATCTCCCTCTCTCTTTTTCTTGTTAAGAAATCTCTTTTAACAGAGTCATTTGTTGTTTCGAAAAAATGACCTTGACAGGGTTTCCCTCCTAATGATGGGAAACAAATGCAGCAAGTCACAGTTCATTATGAGGGTGGAGGCCAAGAGAGTGAGAGAGAGAGAGAGCATATTGGAAATGGAACCGCCTAGAAGACATCCCTGGGGGCCCTTGATGGACTGAAGAAAGACGTGGAAGCAACTGGATACCAGATGCCCGACTAGATTACTAGTACGTGAATCGGAATGGGGCTTGAAAGATACGGAAAGCAGAGATTAAAAATGGACAATTGCCACATTGCAAACTGGGTAACATTGGAACTGGCACACTTCCAGTGAATCCACTCACCAGATCAAGATTTACCATGGTATGCTCACCGTCACCATTTGGAAAGCTGGTAGTGTGCAGTGTTATATTCTTGAGTTTTTGCAATTTTGCCACAGAGGCTTACCAGTGAGAACTTTTTGGCTAGAAATTGTCAGTGGTGATGGGAATTTCCCATGCCAACACCTCTGGAGGCCACTGAGTTAGGAAAAATGTAATTAGAAATATGGGGAAGTAAGAGAGTGGTAAAATTCTCACTATCTCATACTTCCCAAGTGATTGTTTGTACATTTGAGGAAATGATGGCTTGTCTTTATCCATAATGAGTTTATCATAGCTGTATATCTTTGTTATGCTACAATTTGGGGTTTTCTGCTTTTGTTATCCTCAGGAGGTACAGCTCTGACCCCCAAAATGCTACATTAGAATAAATTCCATTTTTAATAATGTGGCTGAAATGCATGGGGAGCAATGCCACTCAGATTTGGAAGAAAGGTGTACCAAAGATTAACACTGCTATCACATTACAGTTCATTCTGGTTCCTTGCTGTCCAGGTACCAATCTCTTCCTCACTTACCGAAGGCTTGGAATTCTTTTTAATTTATTCATTTTTTAAAAAAAAAGTATAACTAAATATATTCTATGTAGTTGCCTCCATCTCCTGATATTACTCTTGATAAATTTTGAATCTGATGAAACTATAGGAAAATACTCAAGAGGTTTCCATCACATTAGCTTCACATCTTACTAATATAAATTAGTTAAAAACTAATAAAAAACTAAAACATTAAGAAGAAATTAGGGTGGAAGAATGTATAGGTACCTGATGCACAGTGAGAATAAAAAAACAAATATTTTGCAATAATGAAAGAGAAAGTATGAGACAAATACTAAGAGGAATACAAGAACCCATTTGTGCAAAAATATCTTTTGAAAGAGGTTGGTAACACCTGTTCAACCTCATCCCCTTTCCACTACGTAAGTAGAACACAATCCATACAACTCTGTATAGGTTTCCTACATTGAAATTAGAGGTTTCATGAGTTTGGCGTCATGTTTAAAATGGATCAGTGGATTGCTGGTGCAGAGTACTCCATGCTACCATGATGCCCCCTATGTGGAACAATGCATAGGTAAATTTTAAACACCCTCTCAGACCTGATGAAATATGATACTAACTGAACTGTTTTCTCACTTGAAGCAGATGACACAGAAAAAGACAATTAATCTGGGTGCTTCCCATTTCATGACCCTCACAAAAAAAAAACCAAAATATTTTTATTAAACAGGATGAAGTTCACAAACTGATTGTGCTAAACTGCTTGGAGCCAAGACCTGACAGCTCTGAAATACATCTCTTTCGGAGAATAGAAGCTCTGATTGACATGCTGTTGCAGTGATCTTGAGATCCCCCTTCAGATGCCTCCTTGGCTTAGGAATAATTCCATAGCTTGTCTGCTTTCTGGAGATTGTCAAATAGAGCTGAGTGCCTTTCAGAAATGGTCCAGAGCTCCACATCTCTGCTGTTCATTAAAGCAGCTTATCTTTCTAGATACCATATGAGCCTAAAAACACACTGTGGCTGCCTTGAGAATTGCAGTGTAAGTCAATTCCTTAATGCAGTGGAATTGGCAAAAAAGATGGGCTGTTTTAATGAACTGTAAGAGGTCATTTCTGAAACACACAGCCCTGTTGTGAAACATGGGTTGCCCCTGACACAACTCACACAGATTGCATACTGTATTTCCAGGCTACTATTAAAGAGAAGGAAAGGCAGCCTAGATGATACAGCCATCAGGTCTACACAATGTCCTTTGTGCTTTTTAGAGTCTGGTCCAAAAGCCGAGCAAATGAATGAGGTGGTTCCTGTAGGCTGCTGGACCCTTACATGGTCGTGTTAGAAGAAGCATGTGGTTGGTTTATCTTGCTTTGGGGGCTGACTCTGACACAATACTTGGCAGGTGTGATGGTTCTACACCCAGGGTACAGTGATTGTAGGTCTCTAGTAATTATCCAAAGCTGTGCTTTAGCAAGATGAAGGATTGGGCTCCTTTAAATCAATTGGTATTTTGTATTTCCAGAGGAGAGTCTTCAAACAGGAAGATCACGATCTGTGGTGCACATTTTATATCTAAACATCTTCAGTTGGGTAGGTGGAGTCTTCAGTTCTGGGGTTTGGGTTGAGCACGAGTACGAGCACTATAAAAGGCAATAGCTGCGCCTTGGGTGTGTTTGCAGAGAATCCTTGGCTTGTATTTAGTAATAAAACGTGTGCTGAAGGTAGCATTGACAGGTTGTAGCTTTTTATTACCTGTGTATTTTAAAGCAAGTCTGGAAGTTCTCTGATGAGGTCAATGTCAGGTCTGCCAGATTAAATTGCCTTCTGTTTTGGGCTTTCCAAAATGTGTCTGGCAGAGAATTTGCTCTCTTTTCAGATGGGTCTCTGAGTTACTGTGTTGCTATGAATCAATGCAACATTTATGTAAAAAAAAAAAAAAAAGAATGTCTTTCTATGTTATGTAAATGTATCATTTGTGTATATTTATTAGAATTTCTTGTATAAAAAGTGCAATACGAATAATTGTACATTACTTTGTCCAGATGGAACTATGGGGGAGGGCAGGAGGGGAGAAGAGATTTTTCTGTTATACTTCTGCAATGTTTTTGTAATAACAGTGATAATGTACTGCCTGCTCCTATTTTTGTGTTTAACCTTGACTACATTCATTGCATACCGAGAAAACTGCAACAAAGGGGGTGGCGTGGAGAGGATATTCTGCAAACAGAAGATCCCTTCCTTAACAGTAATGTGGTGTCTGTTTTTCTCATCAGAAAAATAAATAGATGTTCACTAGAATATCAGACTTCAGTAGCTAAACTCTTTTGGATGATGGCCTTTTGGAAATTCTCTATGAAATGAATCCAGGGAACACCACTGAACATTGGTGCAATGTTTTGGGGGTGCTGGAATATAGGTGCGAATGAGGCTCCCACTACAGCTGGCTTCCCTGCTCATTTCAGCGCAGAGAGAAGCTCCAGGTAGGCATCTTTGTGTTGTCAGTGCTGTTTATATGCCCTTGCAACCCAGAGAGCTCCTGAATTGAAGTACAGTTCCTACTTCAATCAAGCCCTATCCAACTCTGGGTTGAGTCCCTCTACAACTGACATGTCTGTATCTGAGCAAAGGCTTGCAGCCTATGAATGTAATTGCAAATGTTTCATGAATTGTGACTTGACAGCATCCATGTAAGTTTCTTGTTAAGGTTGACAAATATTACAGGAGGCAGTTCCCCTCCCCTTTAAAAAAAAACTTGTTATATAATTTTGTGTACAAATAATGCATCTTATTTATTTACTTTCTTGTCAGACTGGTTCTTTATCATTCCTCTGGAGTCTTGGGAATTACAAATATCCAGAATTCATTTCTGTCTTATGTCTGAAGATAACCGTTGAATCTCTGAGGACCTGGGGAGAACATTCCAGGATCCATGGGATTAATCAGACATCCCATCCTAAGGCCAGAAACCGTAGAAAATCTAACACTGTCTCCCATCTCTCCATCAATCTCTGCCAATGTCCCTTTCTGAGTTTGGGAATCTCCAATTCTGGAAAGCCCTTAAAAGGGGTACAGGAAGATCTTTGAATCAAAAGGGCCTTAAGCCTTTCTATCTCCCCATTACTGTTGTTGTTTGTGGCGTCATCAGGCTGAAGAAACTCCACTGCCAACCAACTGCTGAAAAACAATGCAACAGCAACCTAAAAGGGCTATAATCTATGGTTACTATTAGTAAGATAAAGTACTTATCTTTTAAATTTAAAAAATCCATATAAGATTAAAGTTTAAGAGACCTGCAATTTCCACTCATGCTTCCAACACAAGGAGATAGCCATCTTAAATTCCATGCCATACAGTATAAGCAAGAAAGTATTCAGTCTCATATATTACAGTGTCTTTACAAATTAGATTCCAAGAACTCACAATTCCAACAGCTGGTGCTGCTTCTCATTTAATTGAAACAAAACATTTCAGGATGCAGGAATGTATAGTTGAGTTTCAATGAACAATTATCAATCTGATAGAACGAGTGTGCAAAAACCTTCTAATCTTAATTAATAGGGTACCCATGTCCGTATAGATATGGAATCTGCCAATATTTGCTTTAATGCCAGGCATGTCCTCTAAATGGGCAAAAATATATTGCCCTTCCTGGTTTTCAGAGGTATCAAGGACACATTTAGGTATTAATATAACTATATAGCTATTTTCAGGACATAGGCAAAATACAAGCATATAGGCTTCAAACAGGCCTAAGACTATGGAATCTCTGGAGATTAGAATGAATTCAAATAGCACAAATACTTTGTTAGGCTTTAGGAGTTGTTCATCATGCAATAACATCTTAGACTCCATAGCTGTGTCTTACATTTAGGCTTTGCATTCCACATGGGATTTGATTCAACAGTAGGAAACGGTTATCAGCCAGTTTCCTAAGATTTCAGTCTCCAACCAAAAACCTAAGGGTAATCATTTAGGGTACAAAATATCTGTTGATATTCTTCTTCCCTCTCTCTCTTTGCTGGCTTATATGCTGCCCCCATCAGTCTCAGCTCTGAGCAGCTTGTGTACCCTACCCTGACACACCCGGAGTGACTCACATACCCCAGTAAGGTTAACAATATATACATAAACACTGATAAACTAAGAACATGGTCATCTAAACCACAATAGTATGTCAAGGAACCATGAAAACTGAAAACAAAACACCATGTGGTAAGAAGGCTCTTATACTCCCAAGAACAGGACCACACTTCAAGAGTAGGATGGGGTGAAAGAGATGCCTTAAGCAATCACAAGGCTTAAGGCACATACTTTGTCCCTGAAAACTTTCCCAAACTTTGAAAAGGGCAAAGAAATGGCCCCAGGGCCACAAAAAGCCTGCTGATGGGCCACACCCAGCTCTTGGGCTGCACTGTTTATATGTCTAGCTGAGATGGAAGACAATAGGGTGATCCACCACATTCATAGCCACGGTGTGCAGCAAATGAAACTCTGATGCAGCTCTGTGAGCTGATCCCATCTGCTTGTGATTAGAAGACACCAAAAGCGTTTTTGTTCACATTGCAGCAAAAGGTTGGCTCAGCAAACTTGTCCAACCCTTAATTCCCAGGCAATGGCCGGTCATTGGGAGCTTCTTTCTAGCCCGTACTCTGATTGAGCTGGATTTAAGAGAGGAGGGAAAGAGTACCATATAAAGTAGCTTCACAGTTTAAGGCAGACTCTTCTTAAAGAATCACTGCTGTGGAAATGAATGACATGATTTTGTCCTGTGAGGTTCATACTTGGCTGTATTTTAATTTTAAAAGAAAAACACAAAAGACTAACAACATGTGTAAGCTAGAACATTTCCTGAAACTGGCTGAACACTTCCCTTACTCTAAAGAGCCAATAAAGGTAAAGATTCCCTTGGTGGAGCTTTCTTGGCAGAAATTAGGAAGTGGTTTGCCACTGATTTCTTCCAGAATAGTTTTCCAGCTTCCCAGTCTAGACTACAGGGAATTTCTTGATGGTCTCCCATCCAAGTGTTAGCCAGTTCTAGCTCCGCTTAGTTTTTACAGGGCGGGGGAGAGCAACCAAGATTAGTTACATGCCGCAGTGTTAGAGTCTCTTGCAAACCATACCCCCTTTATCGCTTACACAAAGCTCCTGGGCTTGCCCTTTGGGCAATGAATGTCATGTGCTTAGCTGGGAGAAATGCCAGAATGCAGAGAGTTTCCCGGTCAGAGTAAGTTCATCATTCTCATCCAGCCTCAGATTTAGAAACAAATATAATTGTTTCTAAATCCATAACACCTAGATGTTGCATGGAACAAAGCCATAACCATATCTGGTGTTCTGAAAAGTAGCTTCCAGATCTTCTACCGGACTAGAGATAACAAAGATGGTTGCCTAACTTGGCCTGTCATGCAATTCCTCAATACAATAATTTTGCCAAATGCTTTTCATCTCAAGAATAATTTCACAAATAGTTACAACAGGCATTCACAAAACAGAGTACAGAAAGGAACTGTCCACATTATTCTGGTTATATTCCTCGATATGCTATAGCCCCTTATTTAGAATTTAATTTATTTAGAAAAGGTGAGAGAAGAAGAGGAGAAGTTTCTGTCTGCTTCAGACTCCTTCTGATCAGTGGGGTTACAAAATGAACCTTGCAAGTGCAAATACCTCTGTAACACAGCTGAGCAGAGATCTGATCTATAGGCTTCCTAGAAGTAGCCCAACAATCTGTCTACCTGAACATGCTGGTGGCAGTAATGATGAATCATAATCCTATTTTGCCAGTACACTCTGCTTTTTATAGGCCCTTGTTCGCACATCCATCAGTTTAAAAATAGCTACTGAATTCAAGTTCTAGCTTAATTGATCAAGGAAAGCCATAGACCACGTACCTGGACCTTCACAAAGCCTTCAACATATTCATCCTAATCAAATGATAAGATTATGAGTTATACAATGCTACAGTTAGATGGACTCACAATTCACTCCATGCCTGCACCCAAAGACTACTAGTTAATGGCTTCATCCAAATGAAAGGGGTGGTATATAATAAGAGAAATGTTAAGTTCTGCATCTAGCAAGAAAAAAAAAATGAAAAACACAAATGTAGGATGACGGAGTTCTGACTCGGTAGGAGTTCATGAAAAAAGGATCTAGGAGTTGACCACAAGTTAATCATGAGCCAACAGTGGGATGCAACTGCTAAAAAAGTAAATGATAGCTTGGGCTGCATTAACAGGAATGCTGAATCCAAACCACAGGAGGTAATGGTTCCCTTGTACTCTGTCCTTGTCAGATCCCACTTAGACTTTTGTGTCCAGGTCCACGCACCAATTGAAAAAGGAAATTGCATCAAGTTCAGAGAAGGGCTATCAAGATGTTCAGTGGTCTGGAAACCAAGGCCTATTGAAGAATCTGGATATGTTTAGCCTACAGAAGAGATTACTGAGAGAAGATGTGACAGCAGATTTCAAATATCTGAAGGACTGTCATGTAAATTTTAAATTTATCCTCTGTTGCCCCAGAGGGCAGGACCAGAACCCATAGGTTAAAATTGCAAGAAAGGGGATTCAGGCTAGATGTCAGGAAGAACTTCCTGACTGGATGACCTACAGTATCAGCAAGTAGAATAGGCTGCCATATGAAGTCGGGGGTGGTGGGGAGGCTCTCTTTTGCTGAAGGTCTTCAGGTAGACGCTGGATGGTCACCTGTCAGAGATGTTCTAATGGAACCTACGTTGAGCAGGGAGTAGGACTAGTTAATGTCCTTTCCAACTTGAGATTCTATGTAAGAGAATTAATGTGTCTGCCCATGTTAAATGGCCTGGAAAATAATCAAACTTAAATACATTGGGCACATTTTTTAATTTCAAAGAGAAAAGGTCCAGGAAGACTGTGTTCAGTTTAGGAACAACCATAGCAATCCAATCACATTAGATGTAACTAACTTGACGCATTGGTTTCAACATCCCTTATTTGTTCATTTATTTGTTTATTTATTTAACTTCTATGCTGCCAGACTCCCAGTGCCTCTATAACTATTAGAACAAGGCCGCTGATCCAATCACTTCCCTTTTCTGCATATTCATAGTTTCATTCTAGGTTTTCCTGCTTTGCCCATTTATTATCATGCTTGGTTTCCAAATCCACAAGACAAGAAAGCCTGATTGTCTCCATGTTAGTACAAATGATTAATAAAGTTATTATATTAAAAAAAAACAACCTAGCAGTCATTGGGTTACCTACCTTCTCCATAAACCCTTGCTGAACTCAAAGGAATGCATACATGTCATTTAAAGGCTGGAAAGCAAATGCTTGTTCGGTAGATTATACCTACAAACTTAGTGGAAACCAAGTTTTTTCAGCTTAAAGCAACCCCCTCCCTTTCATTACAGTTTGATATAAGAGGCAACTAAAACAAGCTTTTTTTTTTTTTAACCCAAATATAACCCCCAATGTATTTCATCGGGCTTGGCTTTCAAGGAAGCAGCTTCAGGCTGATTTAAACACTTGTTCTGCAAAGAGCCCAACATTACTGGGAGGGTGGAAGAGCTGATCAGATATAAACTAACCGTCATTGTGCAGTAAAGATGTCTGGCTGAGAAGGAACTAGGTGACGGAGGACAGTGATTTAATGTGCCTGCCTGTTGCTGGAGGGCTGGTAGGGCTGCACGCTCTGCACTGGAGAAATGCTGGTGTTCAAATCATGTGGGAATTGAGAAACTCATGCCCTCTTCCAATCCTCTAAAACTGTCTGCTGCCTGTAGGTTCCTCACTGGTTTGGGGCTGACCCTGTGCTCCACCCTGCAGTCAGGACACAGGAATACTAGGGGAGCCAAAGTGCACAGAGAAGTTGCAGATTGTTTAACTGCTAATGAAAGGAATATGCTTTTTTTTTTTTTGGTTAGGCAAGGAATGATCCAGCACTTCGCCTAAGGAGTAAGCAGGGCTGGGCACCGCCAAAACCTGGACATTTCCTCCAACCCCCCAAACAATTTATTAAGCCCATATTATTAGTTTAAGGAAGGATCCTGCAAGGTTGCCAAATATTTATTCAAACCGCTTTGATTAGTGAAACATGTATGGGGTTGCTAGCTTTGGTTTTATGCTAACAATGTTCAACTGTTAAAAACTGTCAATGTTTAAAAAAAAAATCAAGGAAAAAAGACAGTTGCAGATTTGCTGGTTAAAAGAGGCCTTTTAGTAACTGCGAGTGCTCAATTTGTGCCACTGGGATCTGAAAACTTTTTCAAGCCTCTTTTATGAGCTGGACCGTATTGTTTTCAGCAAGGGCGCCAAGAGTGTTCCCAGCCAAGGAGGCCTCTTAGCATTATCCATAAGATCGTGCCACGTGGCTTTATCTCCTGCCACTGAAAGAGGCACAAAGTGACTAACAACAAAATAAAACCAATACAGAAATTTAATTAAAGTACAATGAAAAGCATAATTAAAATTCCATTTAGAAACTCAAAGGAATAAAACAGCCAGCAAGACCTCCACAACCTCAGCAGCCATTACTGATCTTTGATCATATTTATAAATTTTGATTTAATTTAATCTCAGCAGGAAGCAATTCCTGAAATGTTGTTACTTCTTTGCAGAAGAACAAAGGGAGCTCCTCTGAACACTCTGACTTAGCAGGGTATTCCAACATGTGGGAGAAGTCACCAAAAAGGCCAAATTCCACCCTTAACTAATATTTTTGCAGAAAGAAAAAAAAGATGATGGGATGAGAAACCCTGGAGCAGTCTCCCCGGTCCGAGTACCACTGGATGTTTTAGACGTGCAGTTTCCAGGAAGCTCCTTCAAACAATCCCAAAGTCTTTCCAGCCTGCCCTCAGTGGGGGAGGGAAGAGAAGGCAAGGAGTTGCTGACGTCGCTCCATCAACTGAAGGATCCCAATTGCATTTAAAAATTTCCCTCCCAATCCATTTCTCTCAAATTAGCTTACATTTCCTCAGCTTTTGGGGACACAGAACTTTAGAATCAGCCAGCCTACCCATTCCTGTCTTCACATCCACCTTTGGTGACTTTCCCCCATGAAAAAGTTGGCAGGGAACTGGGAAAAGGCATCTAATATTGGATTCCCTTCGTCACCCCACCTCACCCCACCCCATCCCATCCTGGGTAACTCTAATCATTGAAGGTTGGATCATTTGCCCTTTTTTAAACAAGAAAATAACCATAGCACTCAATAATGGAGCCAAAGATGCTCAATTTTGCTTTTCTAGAATGTTAATTATCTTTTCAGTTCCCTGAGAAAGGGTCAGTCCCAAGGAAATGAGCATTATATTAATCGCATTCATTACAGAATAAAATCAGTGGTCTGCTCCAAAGCAGGCTAAGCAACCCTCAGGCTTTCAGCGCTACATCTTGGAGCACTGCTTGACTTAGCCGGCTGCCGGGGCGACCTCTATAGTCAGCAAGCGTTGAGCTTGATGAACGTCGGGGTTGCATCCCAGTTGCCGGTCGGAACCGCCTGTGGCCACCTTCATCAATCTTATCAAAACGGTAACCAGGTGGCTCTTTGAAAGAGGCGGGACATATACGCACTTCCTTTGCCGTGTAACTTGTGGCATAGGTGGTTGTGTCAGCAAATGGCTCATGATGTCTGGCCACTGGCAAGTGGGGCCGGAAGCTCTTTGTGGAAGGGAGCGGGTGAGGAATGTAATGGGTCTGGAAGGAGGTCGTCAGGTCCATGGGCTCAGTTGGCAAGGTGATCGCTGGATGAGGCAGAATGGGCTTGGGTCTTTCGGAGCGCCAATGCTTGAAGTCGTCCTTCGTAGTGGAGCAGTGGTCAAATGGCTCTGTGTATTCGGTAACCCGGGCCAAGGGCTTACAGGATGTTGCTGGGCGCCCATTAGGATTTCCATAGTGAATCTGCACTGATGTCTGGAGGTCCATCTTCTCTTTAGGAGGAGTGTAAACCGCCGGCTTTCTGGAGAAGGGGGCCGATACTGGCCATGCTTGGTACTTCTCCTTGAATTCAGTTGTACCCTCAAAATTGCCCAGATCTGGCCTGGTATAATCTGGTTTCATGGACTTTGCTGGCTGTCCTGCTAATCCTTTGTAAGAAAATTTGTGGGTGGTGAGACCGTCAAATGGGACATCGCAGCCCTTGAATGGCTTCTGTGTATGGACAAAGCGTTTTGGTATGGGGTGAGCCACATAATTCAACTTATAATTGGTCATGCTCTCCAAGGGAAACTTTGAGATGTGAGGAGGCCTTAAAGGCTTATAGTTCTTGGTGGTGACCAGACCCTTGTACTGGTACTCATCCTGGTTAGTGGTCCTGTGATCAAATTTTTTTTCTGACGGGTGGTAACTGGTATCTGGCTTAATCATCTCTCTTTTAGGCTGATTCCATGCCACGTAATCACCTGAAATGTAAGCAGATGTGATTAAAGATGCCATTGTTCCTCTCACACATTCCTGCCTCAGGTCTGATAAAATGTAATTTACTGGATTCAAGCAAACATAGACAGAAAAAAATGAAAACAGTTGTTTTGCCATTGGAATGATGGCAAATGCTTATTTGGCACTAAAGCAAATGAAGATGGAGTCACGATAATTATTAATGGAACGAATATGGAATCAGACAACTATAAACAGTTTATTTTGGTTTTTTTTAAATTTTGGAATATTGATATTATGCTATTATCCCATTGCCAGAGGGCCAGTTTGGTATAGTGGTTTAAGGCATCAGGCTAGAAACTGGGAGACCATAAGTTCTAGTTCTGCCATAGGCACAAAGCCAGCTGGGTGACCTTGGGCCAGTCACTCTCCCTCAGCCCTAGGAAGGAGGCAATGGCAAACCACTTCCAAACGTCTCACCAAGAAAACCACAGGGACTTGTCCAGGGAGTTGCCAGGAGTTAATGCTAACTCAGAGGCATCCAAAAAAATCCCATTGCCAGTGTGAAAGTAAGATTTGAGTGTAGTCCCGCCAAGCATATGCAAATAGAATCTGGAAAGGTAGATGGCACGTTCATAATGAGGCAGCAAGATGGCATAAAGTAGCCCTGGACACATTTTACTCATGGCATCCATTTTAAGGGCAATTCAAGGGATCTGGAACATGTACTTTGCACCCAGAGCCACTGATCCAAATCTAGTCCACAAATGCCTTATTTTAATTCCAAGCCTTAACTGCAAAAGCAGTCCCCTTTCAAGCATGTGGAAACCTGCTCCCCTCAGAGTTACTGGATTTGAGCTGCAAAACCTCAGGCAACTAGCTGATGCTGAAAAATTTCTGGATTTTTGCCACTCAGATCTTGCACCCTTCTCTATCTTCTGGATGAAACTAGGGGAACATCTTGCAAGATTTGCAAGGGCTTTCTGGCCTCTAAAGGTATTTCTTCTCCTTAAGCACTTGTTGGATTGAAGGTTCATACAGACTTCTGCAAAGAAGCCAAAAAAGCAACAGAAACTTGCGTTCTTGTTTATTGCTTCAAAGGTGGGATCCAAATCTTAAATTCCTCTTGATTCTGATGTCAACTGAATTTTTTTATATATATAATTTTGATTATAGTAATAAAATCCAATACAAACTAAACTTAAAAAAAGACAAGAGAATAGGAAAAAAGGAGTAAAAAGTGCAAGAAAAAAGAAAAAGAAGGAAGGATGAAAAAGAAAAGAATATAATAAAGAAGGAGAAATCAAATATATAAAGAAGTGATTCCCAACCTTCATCAAAACAAGCAGAAACAAATTTAGTGACTCTTCACCCCCTCTAAGGCTACATTTATTTCTTCATCTCATAACCCATCTCTTATCTATGAACAAATCCATAAAACATCATCTTTTCAGTCCTGGTGTCAGCAGAAAGTTCACATACCAGAAGTAACATTCCTTGCTTTAACCCTGATCAAATAAACCAACTTAATATTCATTCCTTTTACTTCTAACAGTCTTAATCTTTAGTTCATTCAAATATTGTCATAGGATTTGATTTCTCCTCATTTCGTCTTTGTCCCATCACACAGACTTCTTCAAGGCTTTAACAAGCTTACTTTGTAAATCCAATAGGAAAAAATTATCGAGGTCACTCTCTTAGTTTGTCATTTGTATTTCCCTTTTAAATTTTAACACCTCAGCCAGTTTCTTTTCTAGATCCAGTGACACAGCCTTTTCCAAGTCAATCTCTTGGCCTGTCAGTTGTAAATCAACTTTTGATACCATCTCTATCTTGTCAGATAAAATTTGTTTTACATTTGATATTGCTTCAATAACATCTTCTGGACATAGTCTATCCATAGAAGTAGACATCATTACTGACAGGTCTGTAAATCTTTTCTCTACCTAAAAACTTTAGTCCCCTCTAGTGTCCAGTTTTTGAAATCATGAAAATTTTTATCTTCATTTTTTCTTGTAAAAACCAAAGAATCTATTTTCCATGAGAAGCTGTTTGTTCTTTATAATTAATTCCAAAATCATCTTGTAAAAGTTTCTCCATTCCAGTTTTATCTGGGCCCTTAGTCTGTTTATAACTTTCTAAGATCAAAATCTTATTTAGCTTTTTGCTGTTTATTTCAGATTCTTTAAATTTTTAAGCTTATAATTAAAATTTTCTTTCATTCAGGATTGAAGGCAGACTCGCCCAAAATTTTCAAACTTATCAGTCCAAAAGTCTCTAGTAACTTAGAAGTAGTTAATGAGAAATTTTTGAAAGTGATTAGAAAATGAGGTTTGTGAATTTAGTGTCCTTTAAAAGGCTCCACCGCATTTGTGAGCAAGATGGCTAATCCCGTTGTCTCCCGGTGCTCAAACCAGCAGAAAAACTGCTTTCCTGCAGTCACCTCATGGGGGGAACAGCTGTCCAGAGCACATGTGGGTGATCTCCCATCTTCTCCTTATCTGGAGGGGTTTTGAAGAACTGATCCACTCACTGGTTCCTTAGTCTTTGCCATGGTCATCAGCTCCGCTTTCACACAGTCATCTTCAGTTCGCCACACCTCCCCTAGAAGTCCTGATGTCAACCGAATTCAAAGAGGGTCTGAGCTTCCCTTGCTACATACTGGCTATATATAGAAAATATAGAAAATAATTTCCTCTTGGCTACATTAGAGCCACTCTGTGTGTGTGCATGTGGTTGTGGAGAGGTAGTAGTAACAACATGAGCTGAATTTTCTGGCTCCACACCACCAAAAAAACAAAACAAAAACCAGTGCAATCTTCTTGATGGACTGTGATGGAATGTGAGGTTGGCCTTGGAGGGCGGGGGAAAGAGATGCTGCCTAGGGAACGATCAGATAAAAGAGAAAGGAGTCCGCAACAGAGTAATGGCCAGAGAAAGAAACTTAGAAAACTACTCAGGCGTTAAAAAGGGAGGGTGGGAGAGTTGTGCTTTCAAACTTGCAATATTCTGTTAATGTAGCCTTACAGTAAAGTAGAATTAGCTCATCGTGTTTCCTGTCTGATTTACCTGGGAGGGCTGACATCAATCTTGCAACATAACTTGACATAACTTGGCTCATGATGAGATTAAAGGCATTATGGAAAAGATGGGACAGGAAAGAAGAAAGAGAGGAGCACCATATAGGTTTGGGCAACATGGGGTTCTCCAGGGGCGACTTCCTCTCCCACACCCTTCAGGTAATGAAGAGTAAGGGATTTCCATTTGAAAACATCTGGAGAGCCACAGATTTCCCCCTACCCCACCCCAGTTCTGTATGTCTAGTTTGTAGCTCTGTCGATATTTACTTAGAAAAAAGCTCCATTCAGTTCAGTGGGACTGGTTACTACCTTAGCAGATCATCCTCACCATATCTCATAACAATCAACGTTATGAGTTAATCCTGCTAGCCTTTCGTAAGGCTTTAAAAACTTGGCTATGTGCCCGAGCCTGGGGTCCTGAAAGCATTAGGGGCCCCGTTACCTGGTTGCACTGTTAATTTTTGTGTAATTATTATGATAATTCTCAGCTGCTTGTATGTATAATTTGTAACTGTTTTAATGGTTTTAATGATTGAAATTGTTTGCCACCCAGAGCCACTTGGATTGAGATGGGCGGCTACAGAAATTGCATAAATAAACAAACAAACAAATTTCTTATTGAGAGTTTTTAAACATAACCTTAAACTATGTGGGTTTATTGTAGCCTGCACAAGTGCCTTGTCAATTTCTACCAAATATACCACAGAAGCTCAGCCCCAAACTGCAGTAATAAATTTTGGGTGCAGTCTACTTATTTATCAGGGATAGGAAAAAAAAGCTGATAAAAGAAGAAGATTTAGAATGGTACGTGTTTAAAACCTATAGATGCACGTCACATAAAATTAAACTTCAAAAATAGTTTGGAATTGATCTACAGTATTTATTTTTTAATTTGGAACTTTTTCTTCTTTTCAAATCCTCCATAATCACAAAATGAGTTGAACAAAAGTTTTTTAAGCTAGTCCAAAACTTTGATTATAAGAAAAAAAAAATCAGGCATTGATGGGAAAATTGATGTGGGGCTGTGCAGTCCTATCTAAATGTATTAAATATTAGTTTAAATTCATCAGCATTTATTATTTAGTTGTAAATGCATGTCCTCTACCTTTGCTCATTTTTACTTTTGGCAACCACCACTTTTTTCTTGTCCACCTCTGCTCTTTAAGCGCACCCTTTAGCATGGCACATAAGACTGTGTACAGCAGTGAGACCCCAAAGGCTGACCCGGCATTGGGACTCCAGACTGACCTGGAGCCAAGCACTACCTGCATCAAGAAGAAGGACTCTGGTTGCAGGCTGGCTGATCCTTCCTCAGTGTCCTCCCGCATGGCCAGAAGGAGAAAAAGGAGAATTGAATTTCTCACTTTCTGATTCTAGCTATGTTTTTATTACTTATTTATTTATCAAATGTGTCACCGCCCATCTCATTGAAATGACCCTGGGCAGTTTACAGCAAAGATAAAATTCATTAAAATACAATAAAAACAGTCCTAATAATAAATAAAGAGCTTCCAAGAAAGATGGAGAGTTGGTGGATAATTCAAGGGAGCATCGACAGGGCCCTAACCGCCCCCAAGGACGGTTAGAGCCCATATCGCCCCATGCACACTGGCAGAGCCAGGTCTTTAAACCTTTTCAGAAACTGGGAGGGTAGGGGCCCACAAACCAGAAAATTTATATTCAACTAGTATTCTTGGGCACATCAAGAATCAGCTAAAGGAACAACAGAGTCCTGCTTTATTTGTCTACTGGTTATCCAGGAGGACGACAATGGAATGTGTGCGTCTGGGTGTGAGAGAGAGCATTGCGGGCAAGCTTCAGCTTAGTTCCTTTTTCCTTTTGCACATAATTTGAAATCCTGGTTTAGTACGACATATGAATCCAATTTCATTTCAGCACACGGCAGGGTAAAGGGTGGATGGTGGTGAGATTCAAGTGTTAAATTGTATGTATGTGTATGTGTTATACACACACACAGTTAAATTTCTCAGACAGCCAAGTGAAAGCTGCTTGTTAAAAACTTCATCTGGATTGCCATTAGGGGTTCAGACAGATCCCCTTGCAACCAAATGCCCTAACAACCAAAGGGCTTGCAAGTCCTTTCCAACTAGGACTCAAATTTAAAAGCTCCTCCGCATAATAAAGGATTGGGATTACTTGGGGAGGAAACCACAGAGGTGTTTGGGGAAGAAACCTGGAGAAATGGAGCAGCAAATACAGAGAGGATACATACTCAGATTATTTATGGATACTTCCACAGGGCCATCCCCAAGGATGGAGCAAGTTACAGTGAACTTGCTCCTCAGAAATGTCTTAGAGACCTACCAAACTCATATTATATATAAACAATATAATGTGTATTTAAAGTATAATCTCTGATATAAAGTATGTCAACTCCATACATTTAGAATTCTCATATTCACTTAAGTATTATGAATATCTTTTGGTTCTTTAGAGCTGATTAAACCTATATCCCCCATTAAATACATTAACACTGAATTGAAATTCTGATTCTCCTTCAGGAAGCATCAATGGCTTCCCATGTACCAGGACATTGAAAAAATTAGACTCAGTGTGGAACCATGTGTGATGTGGCTCAGGCAGCCGTCAGCATTGTCAAAGGAACTGTCTCTCCCTATCTGGGGATAGGACTATATCTCAGAGATAATGAAAAGACTACAACAATTCACTGCAAAGCTGCAAAGAATTGGGATATTTGATCACATCACTTACTGGCACCTCATCCTGCTTAGCAGTTAGTACATCTTGTTTAATATCCTGAAACTAATTCTAAAATCTGTGGGGTTTTTTTCTTAATATTACAATTATTCTAGCCCAGAATTATCTGTATATGAAGTATCTCCATGTAATGCAGGGATGGGGAATTTCCAGGACATAGACCAGATTGAATCACTAGGAAATCCTAGGGCTATAAGCAAACGGGAAGTTGGAAAACATTTTGGAAGAAGGCACTGGCAAACCACTTTGCATTTAGATAATTATTAGGAGTGAGGATAAATTGAGGGAGTCTTTATGTTTCCTTTTTTATTTGGTTTGGTCAAAGGTTTAGAACAGTGTTTTTCAACCTTGGCAACTTTAAGATGTATGGACTTCAATCTCCAGAATTCCCCAGCCAGCATGCTTGCTAGGGAATTCTGGGAGTTGAAGTCCACACATCTTAAAGCTGCCAAGTTTGAAAAACACTGTTTTAAATATATTGCAGCAGGTGAAAGGTATGAAATGGTAGACTGGGTAATGCATAGTCCACAGTGTTTGTACATAAGCACTGACATGCAACATGCAAGATTTAACTGCTCCTGACTTGGGAAGGAACAGAAGTCTGAATTCTTGCAACTCATAACTACAAACAGAAAAAACATTCTGAAAAGAATAAATCTAAGACAGCTTGATATATCGTGGAAACAGACTAGAAGATAGATCATGTTGGAGAAAAGTCAGAACAGCAGAGTGGGGATGTGGTAGTCTTCCAGATGTTGTAGGATTCCAACTCCCCAACATTGCCAGTCACCCTGATCACTGGTTGGGGATTCTGTAAGAAATGGTCTTCTTGCACCTGGAAGGCCTCAGGTTTCCCATGCCTGGTCTTAAACCAGACATAGTTTACCCACTTGAAAAAGAAGCCATGAGGACAAGGAAAGCTGTAAGTATCAATTCAGAAGAAATGGCAGACCCTTACCAAATTAGAAGCAGGTACTTCAGACCAGAAACAATCAATTCATAACATATGACCCAATAATTTTACAACTGTGTTCCCTTATCAGGGATTTCTGAGTAAGAAAGTCAATAAGTCATACGCAAAATTGTTGGCACTGAGTCCTCATTTGTAACATTCAGTGAGTGGCCAGAGTAAACTAAAACAGTACACTGAATAATGCTGCAAAGTTGTAGCACATTCGCTGTCATATACCTTCTTTTCAATCTTCTCATGTATTCTGGGGCTGCAGTGTGGCATCGTTGCACGTGCAACCTGATAGATATTTTGTACACAGATAGCTTCCATCTCTATCAGGTTCCCTCTGAGCTGGCCTTGTGGCCTCCTCTTTGTAAGTCTGATCCCATTCACTTCAATGGATGCACATGTGTCATAGGAGCAATTGCCCCTAGGAAGAAGTGGCTCATACATACATATACACCAGGAATGCATTTTAACGGAGATCTGGTTCTCCTTATAGGCAATCTAACTGCCTGGATATGAAAGATCACTGGTTTTGTTTTAGCCTTTAAAGCTGGTGAATTACAGACTTTAAAGGATGAATCACTACAATATGGAATAAGATCATGGGACCAATTATTCGAAGAAGATTTCCGTTTGCAGAGTATTTTGAAAAATCTTGCAAATTGCAACCAAATGTGGTGAAGCTGCATTTTATCAGAGCTCTTCAAATCTTCAGCTAAAGGCTTCTCTAGATACTACAGACCTTTGACCAAGACTTACATATGGCTCATATCATATTATTAAAGCCCATTGATAGGGACATAGATTAATGTCAATCCACACATTTGAGATAATAGGCAACACTGCCCAGATGTTACATGTATGTAATACAAGTCAAGGGAGAACAGGAGTTGCTTATCATCATTTTTGTCATTATAAAAGAAGAGTAACAGTGTATGTTGCATCCATGTGCTCTAACCAGGATCTGATTGTTTGGATAAAGCTGTCATGAAGAAGAGTTTGCAGACTCCTAGTTCTGCTGAACAAGCAAAATGGATTGATACGATCTTTCTTTCTCCTCCACACTTGTTGAGGGCATGCTCAACTAGCAGGCAACCTTCTTGTGACAAAGATCAATGGAATGGGTAAAAATTACATTTTGATGATTGGCCTACAAGAATGGATTTCTCTTCCTTTTTAATTGTTGACATAGCACTTTCAAAACTCCCAATAAGGGCCCATTTAAATCTTTATCACCACAGACCGGCCTTTTCACAGTGTGGTCTTCAGCACTGAAAAGTATCTTTTCACCAGCAGAGCTGGTCTTACCATTAGTCAGAGGGGGGCAATGGCCTCAAGCAGCTGATTTCAGTTCAATGGAAGAGCAGCAAATTGTCTACTTGCATAACATCCAATAGTATCTTTCTATCAGCGCAAAGAACAGAAAGAAAACCAAATTCCCCTTCTCCCTGTAGCTGCCTTCCCCACAACACTCAAGTTGAACAAGAGAGTTGGAGAAATCTCTGCAGCATTTGGGGGGGGGGGTGGCTGCAGGAGAGAGAGGGTAAAAAGCGGAATCTCATCAGCAGGTTGAGTAGGCAAACATTTAGCTAATATCAGATGTCATAGATTTCATTTATTATGATACTATATGATACTATTTTAGCCCAGAGTAAAAAGAACCATGATGCCCCCCCAAAAAAACAACCCCCAATGCAAAACACAATAGGGGCTTCACAGACACACTATCCCCAAGGAACAGTTCTTACCACATTGATAGCAATAATATCATTCTCTGGCTAATTTGGGAGATGTCCATGATCCCCAACAGAAAGAAGCTCTTTCCTCCATTATTATGGTGCCCAGAACATAGCCCGCATTGGTGGATCCACAATGTTCTGCCCTCCTAGACTTTTATATGATCTGCAGCTACTGCTGGTGATTTCTAAATCAGTTAAAATGAAATGTAGTGCTTGTAAAGTGGGAGAGAAGGATGAGGAGGGAACTCAACTTATGAAAAAGGAAAACGTATTTAAGAGAACTGTATGCTGGAGTCTGGCTAAAACCAAGTTCTCCTTTGATCACACATAGCTAATTCTCCATTGTTTCACCCACAGATCTTCTAAACACCCACATATAGCCAATGGCCCAAAAAGGTTGTGTGCCATAAAACATCAAAGAGGGGGATGGGGGGCAACCAGCAGATCTGGGCTGTAGACGGGTCTTTCTTCCTTTAGCATTCAAACTTCCTTGGAGTCCCTGAGAAGGGGCAAGGTCAAAAATACCAGACATTTTGAGGGGACAGTAGTTTAAGGGGCAAGAAGATGCATCAAGACGCTTACAAGCTCCCCTTAAAAACACGCCAACTTGCAAAGTGGGGAGATTATTACCATTTGGGGGTTAATGAGCAAAATTAACTCTTAAAATATTTCAAGTTACTCTTTCAGCTCTTACTTTTATATGTCGGAATTGAGGTCATTTTCTCAGCAGAAGAGTAGTTTTGTTCCTGGGGCAAGCAAGGAGGCACTCGACTTACGGAGTATGGGTTATAGTCTTGTCTATATGTAGACTGTAGGTCCATGCATTCATCTTTCTTGACATATTTATCAGGAGGTTTCTGTTTAATACGGAACACTTCATGAGGGATGTAATCTCTCCTGTAAACATCAACAACTCTCATTAAGTGAATATCTTGTACTATAAATTATAAAACTGGATCCAGATTTAGTCATGCTTAACTTAAAGCTGTCCTACTGAAGACAATTTGACAAGTTACCAAGCCATCCCATAGATTTTAATGACTCTACTTTAAGCAGACTAAGTCTAGACCTACCCGATTATTGCTTGTTAAATTCACATAAAATTCTAATGTGCTGAAAAGTTCTGTCAATTTTTATTTTATTTTATTTTATTTTGCTTATCAGAGGTTTAGAGATATTTTTAACTTTCACAGACACATTTAAAAAATTTTGTGTCATGAGACTGGGAAATCCCCCCATTCTGGGAAGACTGAGCAGCAGAGCTGACCAACAGATACTTTCTGTATTTTAGGAAGCTTTTAGAAAAATGTGCAATAGGGCAAAGGTGCAGAGAGTATTTCTTTAATCGTGATGATACAACTTTTACTGTACCCCCTCAGTCAACAAAGGCTGGCATAGCGCTTAGTAATCTTTAAACAGTCTATATGAATTGTTTAGTTCTTGGTCAATTTACAAAGTTTTGGGGATTACAGGGTTTTGGGGGAGGTCACATTTTTTTCTGCCAGGTCTATTGGCAATAGTGGATAAAGGTACTTTCTTATAAAATGCTTTAGCTCAATAGAGAGAGGCAATTTAAATATTCATTGTCTGAGTTGACACTAAACCACAAAAACGGCACAGTGCATGAGAAAGCAATGTTTTATCATGTTATCAAGTCAAGTAAAAGCCACACGCATGCTGCTTTTAGTTTTTTATGCCACTGGTGCACAACAGTAGCATATAGATCTGTTTTGCATGCCTCCATTTTTGGGCATTCAAATGTACTCAGCACGTAGAACAGGAGAATTGCTTGGAAGGCTAGGTGTGGCTAAGGCAATAGCAATATGTATCACTAAGTCATAAGGACGGTGATGGGCTTGGCCATTCCCCAGCTCTGTTTTCCCATTTGTGAAGGATACTTTCAGATGGACAACCCCCCAGTTAAATGGATTTGTGTAGTCATTCTACTTTTTCTTCCTCATTGGCAAAGAAGTAGTAGGAAAACACTATGAGATTGCAAATGACAGACAGTTACATCATATTCCTCATATTCCATGAAGGCGTCTGCCCAGTTATACAGTTAAAGACCTCATCCAGGAACACCCAGATAATGAAACCTATTATTTTCCCCCAGATCCCAGAAAAGGAGGATGCATTACAACATTATCTACTCCTCCCACATATACACACACTATGTATTCAAGCCTTCAATCTTTGGCCTCTAGGAGCCCTTATCTTAGGGCTACTAGGTCTGCAATTCAGATGACCACTAGGTGAGAGCCATCATATAGATAACTCTAAGTCTTTGCTCCCATCTGGTGGTCGTTTGGATGGTTGCAGGCCAGATCTGGTAGCCCTACCTTTGCTTCCATTCCTGTGGTCTTACTTGGTTGTTGAAAGGCCTTCCATTGGCACTGGCTGCTTGTTGTACTCCGCTTTGGGTTTGCAGGATTCCCTAGGTAGAACGTTGGGATAAAGGGGGTATTTTTCCGTATACTCAGAAAGGAGACATGGCTTCTCATTCATTTCAAAGGGCCTGGTTGGGAGATGAGGGCAATGATGGCGTCTGTTGAAGAAAGAAAGGAATGATTGGGATTCACCAAGACGCACAACAGGAGTAGGGTACTCACAATTCAATCATGATTACCTGTAGTAGCTTGAACTAGGTTTTACAAATGTATAAAGTACAGACATTGAACTGGACAGCGTCTATTTTCCTTGTTCCCATATGGGTAATTTTTTCCAAACTGATATTATATCGACTGATTATAGAGACAACTGAGAAACTTTAATTAGAAGGGCATTTTAAAAAATGGAGGAGGGTATGCTATGTACACCACCTTGAGCTTTTGGAGGAAAGGTGGGATACGAATCCAATAAGTTAATAAATTCCTGATGTAGTCTTTTAAAAAGTACTGTAATACATTATCTTAATCAAAAGAATATGTTGACTTTTAATGTGTTGATGAAGTCTATAATGTCATTTCATGACTCTATTTTGTACTTCAATTTTTCAGACTCTCTTACCAAAAACATTAGTTCAGATGCTGGTATCTGCCCTTCATCATCCTCAGTGAAGCAAAGAATAGAGTTAACTGTTCTACACCCTCCTGAATCTCCCTTTAGCATATCAGAAAATCCTTGTTGTCCAATGATTTCCTTACCCAATTTCCAGCTTCCATGCATGTGTGGATATGTGTGAGGGTTTGTAGTATTTAATAATTTCTTTTGGAATGCACTTATATCCAATTGCCCTACAAGGCCTCTTTTTTTACATTTTTTTACATTTCCCTGGCTGCCTCATATCCACAGAAAGCAAATTCCTCCAGAGTTTTCTTTACCAAAATTCATTGAAAGAGGTTAAGAAATAATGTTATAGAAATCTTAACAACTGGATTGTTTTCCCCCTTTAGAATTCAATTTCTCTCCCAATTCTTAAGGTGGAGACTTTCTCAGGCTCTATTCATGACTCTGTGCGTGAACTGGTGAGGAGCCTATTCTCTGGAGGAATTGTCCATCTGGTTAGAATGTGAATCTCTTCTTGATCTTAATCAATTTAGCAATATGCTGCTCAATTTGTTTCCCCATATTTCACTATCTTCTTGCATTTCCTTCTCGTGTTCCTTTTTGTTCTCCCTATTTAGACAGTATTTTTCTGATCAAAGCTTCCTTTATTTTATGAGCTACCTTGATTTCATCCGTTACTTGCACTAATGTCCAATAGATGAGATGATTCTTTCCTGATTTACAATATAACTTGTAGCTTGGCTTCTGTTTTGGAGGTTTTGAATAACTCCAAGTATCCTGGAGAGATTTAAAATTAATCTGTAACCAACTGTGAAGGAGGGAAACACCTCTGTTTTAAATGTGGGTGCTTTAATGAAATCTGCAAATGAAATAAATCTCAGGGAATTTCAGCAATTGAATCTAGAAACAAATTTGCCCTTCCTGGACTAAAATTCAATTACCCTTGCTTTGATCCACCAACCTACGCAGAAATTGAGGTTCCCTTTGAATTTTAAAATGTGGAATGTCTCCAGATGACATAAATGGAAATAATCTGGAACATTCCTAGATAGACACACCCCAGAAATGTTAAATATCTAGTGTCCTGATTATTGAAAATTGCTCCTTCCTACTTCATCCTGAATCTTTAGGGAAGAGTGATAACTTCTATACTATTCAAGAAATCGTTGGGCTACTGTTCCCATAATCCCTGATAATTTGCCATCTAGAAAAAGGCTAAGGAGAGCTGGAGTCAAACAGCATCTGGAGGGGTACAGATTTCCTACCTAGTGGGAAATTACATTGAGGATCTATCTTTAATTCTTCATCTGGGAGAAATATAGACTGTTCAATTGGCATGTTCTATACATGGTTAGAGTCAATTTGTAAAACATTGGGTGTTTGCTGTAGTGGCCAAACCACAATGAGAAGCCAAAAAGAATGAAATGGAAAACTGGTGAACCATAATATGATCTCAACAGCTGTGCATATCCACAGTTCATTAAATGATGTTGCAGAAACATCTCTTTAATATTGCTGTTGCTTCAAATGAAGGTAATTATGTTTTAGGGGAAGTTCTCTGATAACCACATTGGGAATCAGTGAATACACAGCTCTATTGAATGTTGAACATTTTTTTGCAATGTCATAGCCTACAAACCTAACAGACTGAAATCCGAAATTCTTAAAAAACTGAATTTTGATTATATTATGGAATTCCACAAACATTTCCATTTTTACTGCGATCGGTGTTCTCTTCCTGTTCCTGAATTTTTAAAAACGTAGCCCACAGCTATTTAACAGAGGAAGATTTTTTCTAGTATGGAAAAACCTAGTAAGAAACAAGAAGGTATCAGGCTGCTATTAAATTTACAGAGCACAGAAGCAGGGACATTGTAAGGTAGCAACCTGATTCTACACTCAGGGAGAAGGAACAAATCCTAAAAGTCATTGCTTTAATTAGGTGACTGATCAATCAAAATAGGGAGCAGCATTTTGGGTGCAATAAAGAATACAATTCCATGCACATCTACTCAGAAGTTAAGTCTCTTCGGATCCACCTAGACTTTCTACTACATAGACATGTATAAGGATTGTAATTATTCTGGCCTTACTTGCCAGCTGAATATATAATTAGCATATAGAGAGCAAGAAGTCACACATTTTGTATTTATTATGGCTTATGCTGTCAGGACTGCCTAATGCATGACATCATCTCTGTGAAAGTGCACTCCCAAGTTCATGCCAATGATTAAAAGATTGTTAAATTGCTGTGCAACTCCTAAAGTACTTAATGTGAATCCCTGGGGTAGCATCAGAACTACCTTAAACATTCTTCTCACTGTTCTAAACGTCCTCTTCTGTGTACAACTGGAGACAATAATCTATGTTCAAACTAACATGGTTATATTTTAAAATCCAAAATTTAAAAATTGTTCAAAAGCCTCAACCCCTTCATCCTGTCAAGGAGAACTTTGTGTAGCGGTGAGGGAATATCTGGGCATCCATTTAAGGAATGGATAGGTTAATAGGTTGATCGCCTCACCTAAGGGGTGAGGCACTTCAGTTGTGGTATGTCTTCAAAATATGACTACCGTAATGTCTGCAGATACATGGCTTAATAAAGCACAGTATTCACTATGCCTCAAATGTGAAATGGGGCCACACAATTCAGGCACAGAATTAGGAGGCGTTAGAAAGCCATGTGTGTTTTTTTACTACCTAGATCACTGCTGTTAACAAGCTTAGTATTGCTGTGTTTCTTTTAAATATCTGGAAACACAGAGATCTGTGCAGAAATGAGGTTTGGCTGCTTGTACACTGTTGTCTTCATTCCTGGGCAGATGGAGATTCTTTAAAAACCATTATTTGTTCCCACCACAAGAGCCCTGAGCGCACCAGTTGGTTCCCTCTGTAAATCCTTTGCCTGTTTTCATCATGCTTTGAAAGGAGGTGCAAACATGGCATTTGCCATCCTCCATAAGAAAAAGTATAGAAATTGCTTGCACATGGAGGATCGGTTACTTTCCTCCAACTTCAGAGCCAATGCCAATGTCTTCAGACTCATCCTCCCCACTTTTTCAGTGAATGCTTTGTTGCCCCAATAGTTTTTTCAAGAACAGAATGTGTGTAACTGAATAGAACTTGAAAAAGGCAACAACTGAACAGGAGCCGTCTCCAAAGCATTCAGTAAAAATCCTGCAGTAATTGAAAAAATGGTTATAGGAGGTAGGCTGTATGTCATGTGAACATATTGTCACAGTAATGAGATAAAAGGTCTCTGTGGACTGGCTGTAGACGCTTTCTGTATGGGGGGGTAAACCCTCCATCTTCAGGGATATGGACTTGACAGAGCTGGATTATGGGTTGCAATTAATCTTCTCCAGAATAGAAGCATCCGTTGTATGTCATTACACCTTGTTGACATCTCATAATCCTGAACTTTACTGTCTGTTTGATATAAAACAAATGCTATCAGCAGAATTAATGTCTTTCTTCCAAAGCGTTTGGGATGGCGTTCTCTACTTCATAGCACTCCTGTTTAGTTAGCCAGGCGGACGGGAAGCAACTGGTCAAAATCAGCCCAGAGAACTTAATAGCTTTCCCAGGTCCAAATCAAACACTTTTTACTACTACAATAGTCCAGCTGTCTTAGTGGCATACTAGTCAGCATTGTAAGAACATCCAGTAGTCAACCTTCTATTCTTCCAGATTTGCTTACCTGAGCTCCTAATTTTTCTCTATTTGGCCAAATTCAAATTCTTTCCACATAGATTTCTAATACAGGTCAGGCAAGTTGGTAGCCATGTTGGAAATATTACACATGCCCAGATTCCCAGGTTATTTTGGCTCTGGCTATATCCTCATTCAGATAGAAAGGCCTCATAGCCACATGTGTAGTTGGGATCATGGAATAATGCATGGGGAAGGGATTTATTCACAATGACTTTCAACCATGATAGGAAACTTTTCCTAACTTGATGTGTTCCAGCAGTTTTGGACTATCATCCTGGCTGGGAACCAGGGGAGCTGTAGTTGGGTGACTATATATAAATTAAATAAAAATAAAAATAAAATAAATATAGGCTTTCAAAGGGACTGATGGGAGCTTCTTTGTAAATCCAGAGAAACATCAAGTTGCAAAATCAAATGTGGCAGAGTTTTCCCCCTTGGGCCCTTATACCTTATTTACTCACCAAAAACATTTTGCCCACCAATGTTTCTATAATCCTCAAAATGATATCTTTGAATGCATTCTACATGATCTATCTGTGCAATGTTCATGTAACTGAGCTGTTGATTAATAAACGTTTGCAGAACCTGCCTGTGCAACTGTATCGGCCTTTGGGTAACACCTTTTTGCTTATCAGATTTTATCACTAGGGGCGGGATGGGCAAAAAAGGAACAAGATCTCCCCTTTTTTTTTTTTACACATTTCAGGTCTAACTCATCACCCCCCACTTTCTGCTTGCTGCAAAAGGCAATGCGGGTTTGATGGAGGTTATTCACTCAGTGGCGAATATATGGTATTTACCATATATTATATGGTAAAAGAGGCATGTCTACAAACAGCAAGGGAGCAAAGGAAAACATCACCAATATCCATTTATCCAATAGAGAATCCATGTTTCTAA